AGGCGAAGCGTTCTTTAGTTATTGATCAGAAACCGTTTTTACTTACAAGGTCATTGTGACTTTGACCTTTGACCCCTTAATCCCAAAATCAATAGGAGTAATCTGCTGGTCATGACAAATCACCATACCAAGTTTTGAAGTTCCTAGGCCTAAGTGTTCTTGAGTTATTTGATCAGAAACCGTTTTTACTTAAAAGGTCAATGTGACCTTGACCTTTGACCCCTTCACCTAAAACTCAATAGGGGTCATCTGCTGGTCATGACCAATCATCACACAAAGGTTGAAGTTCCTAGGCCTAAGCGTTTTTAGTTAATTGATCGGAAACCGTTTTTACCTACAAGGTCAATGTGACCTTGACCTTTGACCCCTTGACCCCAAAATCAATAGGTCATCTGCTGGTCATGACCAATCACCATACCAAGTTTGAAGTTCCTAAGGCATAAGGGTTCTTAAGTTATTGATCGGAAAGCATTTTTACCTACAAGGTCAATGTGACCTTGCCCTTTAACCCCTTAACCCAAAATCAATAGGGGTCATCTGCTGGTCATGACCAATCACCATACCAAGTTTGAAGTTCCTAGGCCTAAGGGTTCTTTAGTTATTGATCGGAAACCGTTTTTACCTAAGAGGTCAATGTGACCTTGACCTTTGACCCCTTGACCCCAAAATCAATAGGGTCATCTACTGATCATGACCAATCACCATCTCAAGTTTGAAGTCCCTAGGCCTAAGGGTTCTTTCATTATTGATCGGAAACCGTTTTTACCTACAAGGTCAATGTGACCTTGACCTTTGACCCCTTAACCCCAAAATCAATAGGGGTCATCTGATTGGTCATAACCAATCACCATACCAAGTTTGAAGTTCCTAGGCCTTAAGGTTCTTTAGTTATTGATTGGAAACCGTTTTTACCTACAAGGTCAATGTGACCTGACCTTTGACCCCTTGACCCCAAAATCAATAGGGGTCATCTACTGATCATGACCAATCACCATACCAAGTTTGAAGTTCCTAGGCCTTAAGGTTCTTTAGTTATTGATCGGAAACCGTTTTTGCTTTCAAGGTCAATGTGACCTTGACCTTTGACCCCTTGACCCCAAAATCAGTAGGGGTCATCTACTGATCATGACCAATCACCATACCAAGTTTGAAGTTCCTAGGCCTTAAGGTTCTTTAGTTATTGATCGGAAACCGTTTTTGCTTACAAGGTCAATGTGACCTTGACCTTTGACCCCTTGACCCCAAAATCAATAGGGGTCATCTACTGATCATGACCAATAACCATACCAAGTTTGAAGTTCCTAGGCCTGAAGGTTCTTTAGTTATTGATCGGAAACCGTTTTTGCTTTCAAGGTCAATGTGAATCTGGGACTTAACATACATTATGCCCGTTTTGGAAAATCTCTGTTGCAGAGGAAATGTTTCCATATACTTTTCAAAACGTTAATCGGAAATTTGATTTTTGATTTTTACAAGAGACTTTTTAAAAATGAAGGAATTGCTGATCAAAATTCCAGCCGAGCTCTTAACTTAAAGTATGTTTTTAAGCGGGTTCATATTTCACATTTATTAATTATTTTATTTTATTTTATTTTATTTTATTTTATTTTATTTTATTTTTATTTTAATTTATTTTATTTTATTTTATTTTATTTCATTTTTTTTTAATTTTATTTTATTTTATTTTTATTTATTTGTTTATTTATTCATTTATTTTTGACACATTTAAGAAAACACATTTATGAATCTGGTTTTTCTTCCCAGTGCGATACTCGTGCCTGCATGTGGTCAAACAATTTTCAAAGGTTGGGCAAGGAGTCAGGTCTCTATAGATATGTATCATTACAGAGAAACTCAATGAACGCGAAAATAATCAACTTTACCGTTATACTGTTATTACATTAATCTATAATATTATATGTGTGTCCGACAAACTCCTTTATTTCTTAAATTAATGATTTTTGATATAAAATGAAATTTAAGATTTGAAATAAAATTAAGGCAAGCGACTGACTTTCAAATAGAAGGCCCTGGTGAAATGATTTCTCACTTGGTTCAAGCGACCGTCATTCTGAAAAAAACATTTAGTAACATCGGTTGAGAATCGAGACATATACGTTAATAATCGATACATTCAATTTAGTTCGAGTCATATGTACAAACTCCTCAAAAAGGTGTTTTATCCCCATACGATCGAAGTGCCTATACTGGCATGCGAGCAGTTCCCGTACAGAAGCAGTACCCGTATTTTTCATTTAAACGCTTGATTTTTACTTGCATTCTTCAAAAATTCATTTCAAATCAAGCAGATACATAAACGAGACAAAATCTAAGTGTCAGTTCGGCAGTACGTATATAAAGTCTTATTTTAAATCACTTTCACCTGTGCGTCGTCAAAACGTGACCTTGTTTTCTCTGGGGGATTCCGTCCTTGTGCGCATGCGCAAAAATACTTACACGTGAGGCTTGTTAAAGGGTTTTCCACTAATACCACCTGTTTACAAATAAGTAGGCAATGTAATGTAAACTTGTTTAATTATCAGAATGTTGACCAATATTACTATATATAATAATTTTATGGCTTTGATGCGTAAATATAATGCATACAAGCATGCTATTGCATGTGAATGCGTTGGGGTAACGGTACCGGGTAATTGATACCCGCGTTTAGTCTACGCTCTATTTCCTGAATTACATCTATTTATCTCTTAGATAATGGTCTGTTCAACAATTGTAAATGAAAAATAGGTCCGATATAATAAAATTGTATAATTATAATGGGTTAGATTTTATGTACGGGAACTACTTCTCTTCATACAAAATAATGGATAATTTCGGTACCCCATATGAGGCCTCATAACTAAGGGTTATACTATGTTTAGAACATGATGGAATTTCCATGATTTGTGTGACGAGCTGAATATTGATGTGTAACATTCAAATTGTGGTGAGTGAGCGTAACAAAAAATAATGTTTAAGTCGCTACGATTTTTGTACGGGAACTGCTCGCATGCCAGTATGGTTTTAAATACAATAAATAGATTCTACATTCAGGCACGGCTTTAAATAATTTGAATTCAGGAGATTATAAGCTACACCAGAAATTATTTTCTTGCATATCAGACAGGCGTTTCCGTGAGTTTTACCCATGCCGGAAATTTCATCTGGCATGGGGGTTCCAGATGAGTCGCGTGCTGTACAATGGCACTGTTAGGATGACGTCATTTTACCGTTACATATTATGAAGTTGTAATTCATACGCTGTTGTTAGAAAGTAGTTACGGTTGTAATGATATAAATTTTCATTGAAAATAAAGATAAAGAATTTAATATATAATGGAATATGGTAGAATATGCAAGAAAAAATATCTGACATATGTTTGCGGTTCGGGTCGGAATATCCGTCCCTCGGTCACCCGCCCATGGGCGGTAACTCGGCAAGCCTCGTTACCGCCCAATGGGCGGGTCACCTCGGGACGGATATTCCGATCCGAACCGCAAAATATGACAGATATTATTATTCTTGGGGAAAAGGTGTAATCAATGCCTACAGGAAGCTACGCCACTGCAACCTTTCTGCAAACTAGCGATCACGAGCTCCTGTGGATAAGGCGGGAGTCCTTAGATACTGAATAGCCAATCAAATGCCGCTACCAGCAATTAGTCGTGTAACATAAGCGTCCGAAGCGTTCCGAAAGAAATGTCAAACTCTGCTATTTACACATTTTGGATATTTACATCAAATTTAGGTATTCTGACATTGTCATAGTGCACTATATGGTTGTAGTAATTTATTTAAGTCTTTCCTACTTTCAGGTCGATTAATTTATCACGAGGTTTTTTAATAATTGGACAAGAAAGCGTATACTTCTCTCCCAATTAAGATGGCACAACAATAATTTGTGGGTGGGGTGACGACTTTTGAGCATTTAATCACTCGATCAAAAGTAAACAATAAAAGTGTTCAAATTTGTCCATTTTAAAGTCAAAGAATTAATTTTGATTCAGAGAGAACAATATTCATTTTAGAGTTATATAACACAGTAGTAATAAGTTATTTATAAGTTATGTTAAATTCGGTTTGACAACTGCTCATGCAGTCTTGTATGACCATGACTTTTCACTTGTTCTGAATATAATTATATATTTTGTTTTGCTATGTCTTCTTTAATTGATAGTTTGGTGTAGTGACATACTGTTTCAATGTTTAAATTAATGGCCCGATTATAAATAATTACATTGAGAAGTTTCATAACATGTTACATGTACATAATTAATTAACGGGAACTTGATATTTTATCAATAAATGACAATTAACGGGAACTTGAAATTTTATCAACAAATGACTAAGTATATGTAAATTAAAAATAAAGCCCTTATCTCTATAGAAACACAATTTTTCATAGAGTAACAGCTGCATGTATCTTTAAAGGGACTCCACCTAAAAACAAAACATTCTTACATAAATGAGCTGGGGCACTTTAAACAGAAATATATGCAAAAATAGTTAAGAAATATACTTTGAAAATAATTGAAATTGTATTTTTATGCTTTTCTTAGCCCAATTTGTGTGAAAAGTGTTTAAACGCTTTTCATTTTGGGTCATTTTTTTAAACAATTTGAATAATTATTCTGGAAAAACGAAGTGTGTGAATGATCTGAAATTTTGCACAAAGATTAGTGGTCTAAACCTACAACAAATGGTACATTTATCTGGAAAAAAATATTTTCAGTCCCATCATGTCAAAAAACCTCAAAAACTTCTTTAATATACATATATATTTTGTGATTTATTGATTAAATATCAAGTTCATGTGCTTAATTATTCGACATTTTAAATGCTAAAGAATTGTTAAAATCTCACATCAATTGGCCTATTTACACTTGCTAACATCATTTATATTCAACTAAAATATCCTTTTATATCACTTAATAGACAAAATGGATGGAGGTGAGTGTGTCTGATTTGATGAAAAGATAAATTTGACGCTGATCTCAAGTTGCTTGTCTCCGTAAATTATGTCCCTATCTATCTATATTTTGATAATGCCAACCCCTCTTGTGAGTGTTATATACTAATATAGACAGAAATTGTGCATTTGGGAAAATGTTAGAAAGTGGTGTGACAGAAAGGTAAAACCTGGAAATGAACATAATCAGGACAGTGTGAGACTTTGAAAGAATTCCAGTCATTGCTAAAAAATATTTATTAGTATCAGGGAAGATAGATTAAAAGTGAAAACGCAACAGGTCAACTAATCCTGTATCTAACCATCACCTTTTTGAATTGTTGAGATCTTGCAGGATAACAATATTTTAGGAAGCTGTTCCACAGCATGAGACAGTGGGGTAAATTGAATAAGGTGTGATAGTCTAATGTCACTCATATTTTGACTATTTTCCAACACTTGTGGTTTCTACCTAAGGTTATGGTAGATTTTGTCCCAGAAAGGAGGCTGAATTTATCAATGCAAAACTGATTTAATAGAATTATAAATTATAGGAGGCTGAATGTATTAACACAAAACTGGCAGATTAAATATAAACCTTGTCTTCCATTATCCTTGGGAGGACATCCTTTAAAACTTTGCAGAGAAGTGGTGACATATAGATCTAGGGATCACTTCTCTGTTGTTTGCCTTTCCAAATGTCCACCTGTCCATCCATCACAAAACTTGACTACTTCTAAAAAACTACTGGTTATATTTTACAGGTTTCCTGGTTCAATAATTATGGCTGAGTTATGACCCTTTGAATTACACCGTAGCTGTAATATGCTACAAAGTAGTTGCAACTTTTAGGGAACAAACTGGTCAAACACCCCTCAATACAACTACTGAATTGTCTATCATCAGCACTGATCCCTGTTGTATTTTTACTACCTCCTTGATAACCAAATCGCCTATATACAAATTTATTTTTAAAAAACCACACACACTGGTTTAACAGAGTGGCAAATAGTAATATATGAGAATACTGGAATGACTTGATGGTTTATGACGTTTTCAGACTATATGGAACACTAGGTACAGTTTTGTAGGGAAGAACAAAGTGTTTGTATAATGGCAGAGATGGACACCATGATACAGGAGGATTCTACCTCAACAAACACTGACAGAGACAATCTTGACAGACTTTTGAAGATATTTAATGGAGGAACAGGTGTCAATCTTGGGGTAATTTTTTTGTACTTTCTTTACAGAATCTTTTGTATAATACATGTTCATGTGTATTATTTATAATGGTTATCTGATTTCTGTGTGATTCCTGCTGTATATTCAGAGAGTCTCTTACTATTTCTTATATATGCAATTAATCCACTATTATATTAAGTCTTGTACATTATCTTGATGTTGTTTTTTTTCTGGCCCATCAACATCATTGATTTGAATACTTGTAGTGTGTAAGACTAAGTAAGACTAAGTTTTTTCATTGCTCTCAAGGTATCATCTTGTCTGTGCAGAATGCTTGAATATTCTGTTGATTTTTTTCATTCAATCTTTCTGTAATTTTACTTTAATTATGTATCTTATATTAGAATGTTACACATAAGATATATTTGTGTTGCTATGAAAATGCAAGAAATTATTTTAATTTTAATGTACATGATAGATGAGAAAGTTTTTTGTATAGACAACCTCTAAGCTTTCTGAACTAAAACAGCTTTAAGTGTTGTAGCCTTACTTTGTACAAACACATGTACTGTAAAAACGTGGGCAAAACAAATTTATAATTATGATAGTATTATTCAGGTAAAGAGTTTAAATATTAGTCATAATCTGTATAATATTTATACTATGACTTAGAAAAATATAAAAGAGTAAGTAAAATATTATAGTATTGATTTAGAAGGTTTTTTTGTAATTCTTGCTTCCTTATATTAATGATCTAAATGGTCTTAAATCATTTTATACTTTAGAATATTTTATAATAAATATAAGACCACATTCTATCACTTACTAAGGAGTTCACAGATGTCCAAAAACATAAAACACAAAACTGGAAAATCGATAATTTTAAGCCTCATGCCTTCAAAATATTTCAAGAAAACCAAACTTTAGAAAAGACTGTTCTAAAATATTAAGAAAAGTAAAAAGATTTAAGATTAAAGTAAAGATTTACATGTTACATGCGATTATTGATTTTAAGATGTTTTGCACAATGTGAATGATTATTTTTGATAAATAGTGAATGAATGATCTCAATGTTTACACAAGTTATTGATATTGACCTACTCCAAATGGTTTGAAAAATATTTCCAGTTTGCACCATGTTAATAAATCTCAGTGGAGTCCATTTTAGTTATGTTGGTATGAGTATTACATTAATTTATTCACAAGTTATTTTATTTTATTTTTTATCTGAAGTACTGGTACTATATACTGATAAGATGTTGGTGAATAATGTACCCAGTGAAGGCACTGCGCATCTAAGACAAGTAAATTTAATGCCCCACACTCTGATCCTTGATAATATCCCTTTATAATATTTCTTGCTTATATGACACTAAATGTACAAATACAAAACCAACACATATTTAGTTGTTCAGGGACAGCAGAAGTTTAACTGAATGCCCAGTATAATCACCAGAGAAATTTATGTCCCATAGGGCATTAGGTAAACATAAATTTTGACTGACTGTAGTTATAGCTTTGTCCCATTTATTTTTTCATTGACAAAATGTCATTTGTTTGTGCCTTAAAAACTTTGTCATGATATTTAATGAAAAAATAATATTCAAATCTAGATAGAGTATAATTATTAAAAATCAGTATAATATATAAATGCAGTTGACAAAATGTCATTCCTTTGTGCCTTAAAAACTTTGTCATGGTATTTAATGAAAAAATAATATTCAAATCTAGATAGAGTATAGTGTTAAAGATCAGCATAATATATAAATGCAGTACAAATCACAGGCACGAGTATCGGACCTGGGAAGAAAAAATATGACCAGATTGATAAAAAAACCTGTGTTCATCTTAAAAGTGTCAAAAAAAACAAAAACAAAATGTAAATAATGACCCCCTTTAAAAATATACTATAACTTATAGTATATTTTTAAAGGGGGTCATTATTTACATTTTTTGGGGTTTTTTTTGACACTTTTAAGATGAACACAAGTTTTTTTTATCAATCTGTCAAATTTTTTCTTCCCAGGTCCGATACTCGTGCCTGTGGTACAAATATGATGAGTTAGTACAATGTAACCATGTAACTGTTTTTTATTGTGTAAATGTGTTATTAGGACTTGTTGGTGTCAGTTATAGAAGCCCAGAAAATCTATGACAGCACCCAGGAGACTGAGTATGAAAGAGAACTGGTTGATATCATATTTGCCAGTATAAAAGGCTGGCGTATCAGAAAGAGGCCTGATATGAAATTGAAACTGGAAGAAGGAAAGGTTATTCTATGCACATAATTGGGCAGAAGTTGGTCTAGGACTTGTTTCAATTTTGGTTTGTTTGTTTTTACATATATGGAAGGGGCATGATTGACTTGATATCAAAATATCAAGGGTTAAAGGCAACACTGAAACTTGTTAAATTTAAGGCCTTTACAGCATGTTGAAATGTTGAGAAGGTATCCAACTACCTTATTGATAGTTTATGATTTTACTTGGGTTTCTGTCTGTGTCTCAAATAATTAAATAATGAGGCTGGAAATCCTTGGTTATAAGTTCTAAGTATTGCATAACAAGCGAGTCATTATAATGGCTTTAAAATTGTTGCTTTGTCTGAAAATCCAAGTAAATAATACATAAAAATTTGGAAACATCAGTGTTAAGATTAACTCCTGATATATAGAACAGTCTTGGAAATGCTTCTTCTGTTGCACATTATGTTTGTATTTTGTTTGGTATGGTCATGTAATATTGTATTTCAGAAGCCAGTGAGAGTTGCACAACATGGTCGTGTAAGTTGTATATGTAACTTTAGAATATAGAAATACTCTTTTATACTTATATCATTATATATTATAGTCTTTTTGATTAGTTTCCTGTGTTTTTGCTAGCAGTCTGTATTACTTAAAGTCAAATCTTGTTTGTATTAAGGGCCTATTCTGTCTTACCTAATAAGTCTGGTTTTGGTCATCTGAATTATATTACTGTTTAATATACAGTCATAAATTTGTGGGCATGAAGTTTTCCAGTTTTGTCCGACAAGACATTTTGAAATGGTGCTCACACATATGTGGAATGTCCGTGTAATAGGACAAGAAACAAATCAAGTATTACCGGTTTTTATTTCATTTTAAAAACTCAATGCAACATCGCATTAAAGTAAAAAAATCTTGAACAAAATTTGGAACAATCATGGATCAGTCTGCCTACAAAACCAGGAAAGTCATAGTGCCCCACAAATTATAATGGTAATTATTAGCAATTTATTATTAAGTAGAATTTAGATCTTAATGAATTTAAGCTTCAGTACTAAAACTCCCCCCCCCCCCACATGTATAATCATTTAACCTGTCTCCTCTGTTAAAAATTACCACATAAGAGAACCATACATAGGCTGTATATGTCATTGTTTCATATAGGTTACTATGCATGTACATATATGTATATCTACATTTTTCCTAAATTTTAATCATACACTTATTGACTTTAAATCTTTTTCATTAAATGAAAAATTAAAGGAAAAAATAAGACAGGTATATACATGTATATATTTACATGAGCCCAGGTATATAAATGTATATATTTACATGAGCTCATGTATAAACATGTATAAATTTACACAAAGTTTAGAAGTAGCTTTATATGGACATGGATTTCAGAGTACATCTCCTATGGATGATGTAAGTGACTTGGGGGGATATAGTTTAGCTGACCCTGGAAAAAAATGACAATAACAATCAGTTTAAGTGTTGCTATTCTTAATTTTTTGTTTAAGAAATAAATATGTACAAAAAGCGGGTTTAACCCCAATAAGAGAGCTACTAATTTTGTTGATATCTTCTGGGGTGAACTAAACTAAATGTGTTCTATTGTTTTCAAGTGACTCACTCATTCACTCTTTACAAAGCAGTCACAAGTAAATCCATCCCTTAAAAAGGTATTTGAAATATAAATGTTATTAAAATTGTATATATTGAGATTTGCAGTTCCATATATCATAATATTGGAAATGTTAATATTTCACAAAATTTTGAAAAAGATATTGCTCAAAAACATGTGTAACCTTATATTGAAGAAGAATATTTCTAGCAAAAATTAACTGTTTATTAGAAATCTTTTATAATTTTGTCTGGTTCACAAAACATTTGAAAATACTTTGCTCTATTTGAGTGTGAATGAATATCCACCCATCCCATATTTATATCACCTCATGCTAATTTATGGGTACCGTTCAAGATTACACTGTTGAACAATATGTAAGTAATGGTATTAACACTCATGTTAGTACTGGTATATTAAGATGTTAGTACTGGTATATTAAGATGTTAGTACTGGTATATTAAGATGCTAGTACTGGTATATTAAGATGCTAGTACTGGTATATTAAGATGCTAGTACTGGTATATTAAGATGTTAGTACTGGTATATTAAGATGCTAGTACTGGTATATTAAGATGTTAGTACTGGTTTATTAAGATGCTAGTACTGGTATATTAAGATGCTAGTACTGGTATATTAAGATGCTTAGGTACTGGTATATTAAGATGCTAGTACTGGTATATTAAGATGCTAGTACTGGTATATTAAGATGCTAGTACTGGTATATTAAGATGCTAGTACTGGTATATTAAGATGTTAGTACTGGCACAGACTCTTGGAAAATTGTTTTATAAATTGCCTCTAAGTTGTAAGTTAGGACCATTGTAAAAACTTGAGATAAACCTTAGATTAGTAACAAAAAAATGGTTTGTTTTATTTTAGTGGAAAAATCAGTTTCACATTTGTCTTAATATGCACAGTTTCCTTCCTTTTTTGAAGCACTTAAATTAATAGCTGTTTTGATTGGATTTTCTAGCATTTAGAATAGGATAAAGTTTAAGTTGTTGACCTTAGTTAAAGATAAACTTTTCTTACATGTAACTTATGACATATCATATATAAATAAATGTGAAGTAAGTCAAAATGTTGTAATTTATACACATGATGTACAATCATGTATTGAAGATTTTAGAATTTACAACAGTTCTCATATATTTTGTATCAAAATAACACACTTGAACTTACAGTGAAATATTACACACAGGCACTTGACAGACACAGGCATTTTTATAAACAATTCAAGTGCTGTCGTTTGATTTTTGAAAGTGTTCTCTTATGTTTTATTTATAGATCTAGTAATTAAGACCAAAGATTGCTATAGAAGCAAACAATAAATCTTTAAATTGCTATTAATTATACTTACAGGAAAAGCTATGTTTCTGTTTTGTTATAGAATTTAGAAACCTATGTAGCTGAAATAATTGCTTTAAAATTTGTATCTGAACCATATATACCTCACTGCTTTGGATCTGAAATACACTGCTGAGTTCTTTTCCCATTTTGGTTTAATTTCCTTTATTATATGAATATATTTCTAATTTTAGCTCTCCTTGTGATTATCCTGTGACTGTCATGCATTGTTCATATTTAACAACTCCTTCATACCCTCTCAGCCAATTAGTGATGAAACTGAATATAGGAATGATCCTAAGAGGGTCCTCTATAAAATTTGCTCAAATGGTTACATTCTGTTGAACAAGATGGCCACTAGAGCTTAAAATAAAAAAAAACCCATGAAAGAGAGCATGACAGGTTAATAAACCAACATCACCTCATTAATGATGCTGCAGATTTTGATGAAACTTAACAGGGATGATCATTTGATAGTCTTTTTCCAAATATTCCAAACTCAAGTCTGCCTGCCAGATGTAACAAAAGCAAAAGAACAGCTTTAAGCAGCAATTTTTTGTCCTTCCTCAGCTGCTGCACAAAAATTGATAAATTATTTCAGTCTGCTGAACAAGATTGCTGCCTGCATGCTTAAATCTAAGGCTTACATGACATCTCCATCTTAACATCATGGCTGATTTACTGGAATAACTTAATCCAACCATAATGACCCTCTTGTTATGATATGTATATGATCAATTTAATTTTGTTTTAAAGATCTAAATGGCAGTGATGGTCTAGTAGTTAATATGTCAACCCAGGTTTTGTTGGTTCGAGTCATACTGGGGTCATAACCATGTTTCCTCATATGACACCAGTACTGGTTAGTTCCAGAAAGCACACTCCGGAATGTTTTTTTTTCAGCTTTAAGTTTTAACTTCAATAAATAGTCTTTATACTAAATTATAACTTGATATAGGAGTCATGGAGAAAATAAACAATATTTGAATTAGTATTAAGTTATATCAAAGAGCAAAGCATTTTTTTATATACAGTATACTTAAAGAATGTCAATAAATATATTAAAGACAATGTTTCATTTTATTTATATCAGTAAGTGTTTAGTATTTTTATTAGTGTTCTTTGTTAATAAAGAAATTAATAATTTTTGTTCATAAAGATTTTCTATAATTAATTGGAAGTTTTTATAAGTCTCACTTTAGGAATATTTGTTGTAAGTATTGAAATGTTTATTAAATAAAATTATTTTTTTATACAGACTGATGGTAAATTATCACAAATTTTATTTAAGATTCAATGCTTTAACATGTAATTTAATTGTTCTATGGATTTTTAATTTTTATTTAAATAAAGTGTTGTATTATTTATAGAGGAAAGTAACAATAAATGACACAAGGCGCCCGCCACCTGTAGCACCTCATATGACACAGCGTGTAAAAACTTTCTACATGGATCCATCAGAAAAATATTCACTATCATCTAGAGGTATGTACATGCACTAATTTTCTAATTTAAGCAACTAAATGTTCATTTTACCTAAAAATAGACAGATATTTATAATTATTGATGTTTATATAACCAAAATAGATAACAGAAAATGATAGTTTAATCATTTCTTTTATCCTTCACTTTATAACTGTGGATTTATCTAAATATTTATAAGGAAGTTTATTTCTTTTATTTATGTCTCAATATTTGTTTGTGCTTGAATACAATAATTTTGTTTATATTTTTCGTTATTTAAGTTATTTTCCTCAAACATGTAATGACCTTATATGATCAACCTCACAGTGGCTCAAATAAATAATTGCTTATATTAAAAGTTTCTATCATAGATATAATTTTCTAGATATAAAGGGAGTTAATTATTTCCTCTCACTGTCATCCTGTTATTTACTCAGTATTAAGTGATGTAATTAATGTATTTTCTGTCCTCTATTGCTGTTTTAAGAGATTGATATGGAAAAATTGGCATATAACCTTGTCTTCAAGAGATTTCTTGTCTATCAACTCCAGGAACATACAGTTATGCCACTGCCCTAAATAAATAAACCTAAAACTTTACTGTTCTGTGTGATTAGTTTCCAATATAAAAGTCCATATCAAACTAATTTCATTTAAAGTCTAGAATGAATATTAAAATAATTGATATCATTCTTAACTTAATGAATTGATGGAAACTATCAAAACTATTTACTTCATACTTCAAAAGATGCAATATTACAAGAACATATTTTGCAATAATGTCCCTTTTTGACTTAATTTTTTTTTATTTACCCTGTTTAACGTTTGTCAAGGTTAATTTCTGAAAACCTATTAAAGATGTTCACTTTTAACACTTCATTATCAAAATTGGAATGCATTTTTGATGGTCAGATAACCCTTAAAGTAATTTCTGTTTTAATACCTCTTTGTTTTACAGTTTCGTAATATCTCATATACTTTCCCAGGTATTCACCTCAAACTTGTAATACTTGTTGACCATCAATGGTCGGCAGTTCTGCCAAGCACTTCTGCAGAAGTAATGCTTAATGCAGAAAAAAAATCAGTTACTGTCCAACATTGTCAAAATTTGAGTGGGCGCAGTTTCTCGAAATTGTTCACATACACTGTCTATTCATTATTGGTATTTTATCACATTGTTTCAGCTAGTTGGAGTCGATGTAAGAAAACAGACAAATCAACTTATTGTAGTATCCAGTCAATATTAGTTATCACCCATTATGTTAACATTACACTAACTATTTCATTAACATTATGTAAAATAAATATTAACATTTCAAGTAGATAAATTGTATGCTTATAATTGGTATTTAATGTAGTATTATTGGATATATTTAATGTACCAATTTATACACCCCTGTGGAAATTAAATGTGATATAAGCTTAGATAATGGACAGGGCAAATAGTCAAACACATTTAGTCATTTATTTGATTTGTTTTATATTTAAATAGACTATACAAGCCATATACTAACAAAATCAGTGATTATGTTTGCTTGAGTTTTGCTGTAGAGATCGTGCAGTCAAATTAACATTAACAATTTAATAAGTTTAACTACAGGTTACAATATGCTCTTTTAGTCTCATCAGGGGCATAATGCCATATTTTAATATTTTGTACGAGTCCACAGGGAAGAGGGCAAATAGTGGTGAAATTATTTTTATTTTATTGCTGTATTTCAATAATCACTGTGCAGCCACATATTAATCTACAAATATTCATGATATTTTAAAATATAAAATTGTAAAATGTGATTGTATGGTATGTAATCCTGTACGAAAATTCTGAGCCAATTCTGTACAGACTCTGTACCAACTCTGGTTGTTATAGAGGCAGATTTTCATTTTTCTGTACAGAGTTGACACCGACACAGAATTGGACACAGAATCGGCCCAGGAAATAGGTGATTTTCTGTGCAGAATAAAACAGAATCAAAAAATTTTCTGTGCAGAAAAATTTTCACACAGATATTTTGCTCTTAGTTATTTTTACAAGACAGAATTTCAATACTTCGAAAAAAAAATGAGGCAGAATTTACATAGACACACAGAATTTTAACACTTAGATAAATCTTGAGACAGAATTTACTTTTCTAGCCAGAATTTCACTCTGAGTTAATCTCAGAGTAGTAGATAGATATTCTGTAATATCAGGTGTAACCCCCATGTAACCCCTGTTGGTCAATTCAAATCTCTCAGGCTGCCACACGAGGTTTTATTACACAAAGTGTCTTCACATTTGCAAAGATTAAAACATTGGCAAAGATTAATATGTTTTGTTTAGTTTATTTTTCTAATGATAAGTTAACAAGTTAGTTGTTGTGAAGAGCAATCATGTAGAGACTTGAAATTCTCAGATTTAGGGGCCAAAGAGGAATTATGATGGAATTATAATCAAAACCAGAGGTAAGATTTTGCAATGTTTTCTTTGAATTTTTCTTTGAATTATTTGGTTATAACTTCCACTGTAAATAAAAGAAATTATTTATACATCTTTTAATAGTCTATGAATTATCTATATTAGTTAAATTTACTCTGATTTGAGACAGACCACTATGGTCTAATGAGTATAAAATTAATGCACTGAAGTCAAAGCTGGGCCAGTGAAATTATTAGTTCATAAATTGCTTTTTGATCAGTTGATAGGCCAAGATCTATTTTTTTTAATTTCTTGCTCTATTATGCAATAAATAGTTTAGCTTTATGTTTTGCTATTCTATAATTCAATTCATTTAGTTTAAATTAATCAATTCAAAACTCCCGGAAATTGTGTAGAATGTATGACCAGCAACTGTTGCTATGGTCAGTGCTTATCAGCAATTCTATTCTTAGAATATTGGCCACTTGTAAATCTCTCCTATTTTAAGTTATGTTGCAATTTACATGACTGTGTAGTTTTGTAACACAAGCTTTGGTCAGGGATGATATATGTAAACAGTTTTGTTAGTCAGTGACTTTGATGTTACTTGGTGCAAAAAAACTTAAGGTATATAGGGATACAATTTTAACTGTTTTATGTACACATTGAAATGTTTTACAAATTTTGCATATCATTTAATAATAGAATGAACATAATTCAAATTCCTTTTTTTTTACTCTAGATTATGTCAGGATGTGTGTGTGTGGTGCAAAGACAGAGACAAGCCAATTCCTGATGACAGCGCCCTCAACAAGGCTATTACTCATTGGATAGACCTCTCAGGAAAGAAATGAATAAAAATTGTTAATTAAAATTAATAAAATTTAATGAGAAATGTTCAAAAGGAAAATTGATTTTGTTTTTAGCCAAAAAAAAGAAAATCTGTACAGAATATTTTCTGTACAGATTTTTTTCTGTGCAGAATTCCCTTTCAGATATTTCCTATGGACAGGGTTAATTCTGTACAGAATATGAAGAAGCCCAGATTTTTTTCTGCCCAGATTTTTTTTTCTGCCCAGATTTTTTTCTGCCCAGAAAATAATCGGCTTAATTTAAATATTTCAGAAAAAATCTGTACAGATTTCGTTCTTTATCCTTATTGCTAAAATCTATTAATAGAATTCTGGTTCAACTTTGTTTCATTTGACCAGATTTTTTTCTGTACAGACTCTGTACAGAGTTTTCTAAATAAAGTCTGTACAGATTCTGTCTGCATTCTGCCCAGACTTTTTCGTACAGGATCCTGGCACCAGTACCAATATAGTCAGTAGTACATATATCTCAATTGTATAGCTTCCACTGATAAAATATGAAAAACCAGTGATTCAATACACCACTCAAATAACCCTACATCTTATAATTTACCACATATACTTCCTACATTGTTATTCTGACATGTTGATGGATATAAATACTGGAGTATACAGTAAAGTTTTGTCTTGATATCAGGAATCCAGAAACACTTGCCTGGTATTTTAATGAATTATTTTCACATTTAAATGTCTTATTGTAACAATTAAACTATAAATAACTATAACTTGTAGACATTAGCTCTGCAGAAATGATTGACAAATACTACATTATACACATACACCTTTCTATGATTATATTATAGATACAGTTATTATACCAAATGTGGCAACAAAGTCAGCCAGGGCACGCTCCATGATTGGTGGTACACCAATAACCAAGGAAACTGCTATTGTAAGTAGAATGTATCAAAAGTGAAATTTTAGTAGTGTTTGCATTTCAAATAAATTACAAATTAAAGTTGCAGTATTATGATTTTATCTTGTATTCTTGATAATGGTTTACTGTATTTAAACAATTGTTAGCAATTGATAGATCCCTACCCTGATCTTTCATTTGAATTACAATAGATTTAACCATAAACATGGACATGTGCTCTTTTGTTATATATGTTCTTAAATATGTTGTGGGGATCCAAGAAAATCTTATTGTATCCACAAATCTGATAATTAGAATTAGACAGTTCAGGGATCTGTGCATTGATTTTGATTTACTGAAACAAATTTGTTTATGCTTAATTAAAGCCTATTTGTATTTCAGCAATTAAGAAAAATCACATTAGGAACAACAGTTCATTCTTTTAGTCGGGAATGGCGTAAATCAGCTCTACTATTCCAGGATTCTTCCACAAAATATCCTTATGGTTTTCAAACATCTAGAGTGAGTAGTAAATCTTATGTTGTATGCTTTCATAGAATTTTTTAACAAACATTAAAGTTTGATAAAGGAAATACAGGATAATTCTACACAATGTTATTATAAACATAAAACAGAGAGTGTCTTATTCTGACTGGAGTACAGACAATTAAACATGAATCCTCACAATATGACTGGAGTTCATACAGACTTACTGGATTTCATACAAACTGACTGGAGTTCATACAAACTGACTGGAGTTCATACAGACTGACTGGAGTTCATACAAACTGACTGGAGTTCATACAGACTGACTGGAGTTCATACAGACTGACTGGAGTTCATACAAACTGACTGGAGTTCATACAGACTGACTGGAGTTCATACAAACTGACTGGAGTTCATACAAATTGACTGGAGTTCATACAAAGTGACTGGAGTTCATACAGACTGACTGGAGTTCATACAGACTGACTGGAGTTCATACAGACTGACTGGAGTGCATACAAACTTACTGGAGTTCATACAGACTGACTGGAGTTCATACAAAATGACTGGAGTTCATACAAACTTACTGGAGTTCATACAAACTGACTGGAGTTCATACAGACTGACTGGAGTTCATACAAACTGACTGGAGTTCATACAAACTGACTGGAGTTCATACAGACTGACTGGAGTTCATACAAACTTATTCTAGGCAGAGTACACCAGATTTGACTGGTGTGCCCAAAATCCACGTAATCATACTCTGACTTCAGTACACAATTTCAAACTGGAGTACACTCATTCTGACTGACTGAAGTACATAAAGTATGACTTGAGTACACACAGACTGACTTGTACACACAATTTTACTTGAGTGAACACAATTTCAAACTGGAGTACACACAATCTGGCCAGCGTACCTAACACACATATAACTGGAGTACAGACAATCTTATAGCATTTACACATATCTGACTGGAGAATTCCCAATCTCCTTAAACTGAGAGTAATGGTTTGTACTAAGATAAGATGTTTGATGTTAGATTTTTTATGTATTACTTTGTTACATGCTAAAAAACATTCATTGTTTTATCTTTTAATATTTCAGTGTGGATCTAGAGCATTGATACTTTGTTTCCAAGGTTACTTGATGAAACATCTATTATTTTGTAAACAGTACAGCTCTAGCCTAGCAACAAAACAGTAAGTTTACCTAGAATTATTTCATGAAAGTGAAATATAGTGTACATAAGTAATTGGAGTCCTGACCACAGGGATAAGATGCATGTCATCAGGATAGAGCAAGCTGTAATTCTAAGCAGACAGAATTCTAGGGTTTGGTGTGAAACTGCTGTAACTCGTGTTATATATCATGTATAATTAAGGAGTTACATCAGTTTTGCACTGATCCATTACAGTACAAAGCTTATTATAGTTTTAAAAAATAAAAAAACATTACTAGAAATTCTCAGTAATATTCAACTTAAGCTAGATTTAACAAGATTTTTAGATTTCAGAAAGATCTTTTGGGCCAGAAAAAAACCCACAAACACTACAACAAAACCACAAAAGACAAAAAGGATTTTAACATTAAATTTTTGTCAATTTCTTTATGTCATCCAGTTAATTATAAAAAAGTATTATTTATTTATTCAGTGCATTACAGCCGACAGATTTTGAGCGTAGGAAGGCATTAAGTGGTGCTGTATGTGATGTATTGTGGCAAGCAGGGAACCAGATCCGGTGCTGTGTATGCCTTCATCAAGATACTGCATTCTTTGATACAGACTATCAATATAGAGTGGATGGTATCACAGAAAAAGTAAATGAAACATACTACTCGTTAATTTAACCTTGATTAATTTTAGTGAAATGGGAATACTCACACTGACTTTAGCTTTAGAGTAACACATGGTTAATGTTAAATTTACAAAATTAACTTTATATCTGGTTTATGTCTGAAGGATTTCTGTTAAGACTTTTTAGCTGCAACATGCTACAAAGTAGTTGTGACATAAAGGGAACAAATTATCCTACCACATCCCTCAATACAACTGCTAAATTGGCTAACATCAGGCTGCACATGTGATTTCTGATCGCTCTTGTTTCCCAATTGAACCGAGCAATGATATGGGAACTATTTTGCCACAATATTGGTATCTTAATTATTTTAGAAAATTGTTTGTTTGCATTCTTTTAGAATACTGTTTAGAATGTTAGAAATCTTGAACTTATTAGTGTTATATAAATTTAGAAAATGGGAGGAATTAGAGGAGTGACTTAAATCAAAAGTATCATCACCAAATAAGTTATAATGTTGTTATTTTATTGTTATCTTTTATAATAAAAAAAAACACTTCTATTATTATATGTTACAATAATTATATATTGCATCTTGTATAAAGTTTTTATTCTGTATATTTCAGTTGAATCTGTATGAATTCAAGAAATTTCAAGACCTTGAAATGTTTGTTAAAAGACATCTTAGTCATGTAAGTAATTACTGATTATGAAATAACGTAGATTAATTTACATTGTTAAAGTATAGGTTTAAAGACTGACTGTGTCATGAAATTGTTGTTAAATTTTTATGACACAAAAACTATTATTTAAAGGTCACATGTAATACAGGGACTTTATAGCTTTCAATAGACGCAAACTCAAATTCCCTTTCAATGCATTAGGGCTGACAAAAACTATTATTTAAAGGTACATGTAATATAGGGACTTTCTAGATGTTATCAATAGACGCAAACTCAAATTCCCTTCAATGCATTAGGGCTGTCATTGATGCAATTTTTTGTATCAATACATTGAAAGACAGTTATCGACGCTATAATGATGTAACAAATAATGTTGTAATTAGAGTGAAAAACACTTGAATATTTGTTAGACACTATACTCATGGTGTAAATATGTAAGCTGTCACAAATTCAATTAACATAAAGAAACTTTGTTTTTTGATATTTTTTTCTCACTGACTGGAAATTGAAGGGTTCAAGCTAGCCATAAAATATGAAAAGAAGTGACTTCTCTTTTAACAGAAAATGGAAAAATATTTTCATAAGATAAGAAGAAAAAAGATTTGAGTGTACAGATATTCAAAACTGTGTATTGATATTGTATTGAATGTTAAATATTGATGATACATCGATATTGCGATATTCAATGACAGCCCTACCATGCATTATTTCTGGCACAGACAGACATATGTCTAGAATCATTAACCTTCCTCAAGCTAGCTAGCTTTCTCATCTGGTATGATACAGGAATTCTACTTGTGGTTTGATATGAATTATTGCCCTTCTAGATTATCCGAGATAACTTTTTCTGATATACATTATATGACAACTTTTGTGACATGTTTAGTTATATTGTTTTTTTAGGAAGTAAAGTCATTTTGATATGTATTTTGTTTACTTCACAGTTTGAGCATGAAAACTCCAATGGCTGTATACTACTGTTATATAGTGTTATTTTATCACGGACAGTTAGTAGGTAAGACTTTAACAGATATCAGGATTCTGTATATATTTTAGTTACCAATGGCAAGATCATTTACAGTCTTTGCAAACTACCATTTCAATGTTATATTACTGATAAACTATGAATTGTAAATTTTTAAACCCATCTTATGCTAATTACAATTATTACAGAGCGTTGTCACTGATTTTGTTTCAAGACAGTTTGTTAGTGTTTTATAAACTGAAATCCTTTAAACTGCCGAAGGATAGTTCCAAAATTTAAACTTGAAAAACCAGTTCCAGTTTTCTAGCATAACATGATATCACCATAACTGAATTCTGCTTTATATGCTCACATATCAGTGCAGATCACTTGAATCTGTGATGATGTACAAATTATTTTACACATTGTTTTCAGGAAATTTGCTCCTCAAAGGGCTGTAGCACACACTGTATTTAGACATTATACTCTCTCTTATTTGACCATTTCATCCTTTTTTCCAGACAGTTTATTATATAAAATACATAGATCCTTATTAGTATAAATAATAATGTATTATATATAATTTTAAGGATATATGAAGATATGGGAGTCTCGGAGAATGATAAATTCAAGCTTCTAGCAGACAATGAAGAGTGTAGTATCCCGTTAGTAAATTTGTTGTTGTCAGGTAGAGCTGTACCACATTATCATAATGGGAACATTATTTATGATAAAGATGGTAATTTACTGGTATGTACTATATAAACTTTCAAGTCTGTCAAGATATTGTATGCCACTAAAATCATATTTTAGTAATTTTGATGAAATGTTATGCTTCGAGCATCATATTTATTTGTTTGGTGAAAATCAGTCACTAAAATAAGTTGAGTTATAGTTTAAAAGAAAATCGCTGGACTTTGTGTGTTACTTTCAAAGGTAGTCTTTGTAATTTTTTTCCAAATCTATTAAACAATAATTTCAACTATGAGAGTATGGTAATTTTGTTTTAATATTTATTTTATCTACAGCCTCAACCATTGAGAGGTATCAAGGAGAGGAGTCAAGTTGGATTTTTATTTTGGGATAAAGGGGAAGAACCTGATGAAAGAACTGAGGTAAAATAATTTTTGGTTATTTAACACTGTTTGGTGCAATATAGAGATATAGATACAAACCGAGACAAGTAACAAAGACATTAATAGCTTGTTGTCTCCCTTTTCCTGAAAGTTGGTGATATATTACAGATTGGAAGTATGTTGAAGACTCCAAAGAATCCAATATGGCTGACTCTAGTGAATGGTCAATATGGACTACTTTTTAGCAACAATGCAGATCTGGTTTCTGATTGGAGGGTGGAACATCACTTTCAGTTGTATTACTACACAGGGCTTTTAACAAAGACATACACAGTATTGACTATAGGTATGTACATTGACTTTATTTGCTCTGTTTTTATAAACATCAAATTTATTATCAATAATATTCACTCTAGCTGTTTTTTCTTTGAAATTACAATTTTTATGTATTTTATTATATTTTTATTTTTGACTTGAAATATCAAATGCAGAGAAAATGCCAATAAAATGTATTACTTGGAGGGATAGGCATTAATTATCTGTATTTTTAGTCATATTTTTGTCTTTAAATTCAAATGTTTAAAGTTATCTATCATAGATCAAGTTCTATGTGGTAAAGTTTTTATCTTTTTATGCCCTTCTATGTAGTTATAATTTTAGGAATATGACTATGCTTGTGTCAAGTTTATTACTTTGTTATATTTTGGAGGATTTAATATTACTCAGCACAAATGTTTACCATCATGAGACAATGTGTCATGCATAAAATTTAGACATGTAGATTAAGGGTCAAGGTAAAATTTAGAGACCAAAGGTCAAAAAAAAAAAGTCAGATCTACAACTTTATCATCCTTTGATTGTTTGTTATCATATGTGTAACTTGCCAGGTATTGGCCCATACATGTAGCTCAACGGTCAAGGTCACAGATAGAGGTCAAAGACTCGTTTCTTGTTTCCAGTCAATAACTTTTGTTCCTTAAGGGGATTAACTAAGCATCACTATGGGTCCATAACTTTTACATACCCATATTTATATGTATTGTGTATATGTATTTAGAAATAACTTGTCACAAATGTTCATTGTTTAGTATCTATTGTCAAAATGTAAAAAAATCTTTTTGAGCACACTTTACCTTCAGTGATGCAAGTTATTTATCATTTCTTATAACTGTGTTATGACCATTTTGTAACATGCATACCAAGACATGTTCCCTGTATAGTGAAATCTGTGAAATCCAGAATTAGCTTTAAAAAAGCCTATTATTTCAAAAATTATTTTGATACATTATGTGAAATTTCTTAGTGTAGTGATACTTTCTTGAATAATAAATGCAAACTGTTAGTCACACCCAGTAATATAGTTTGATATAATTTTGTGTATTATACAAATATGTAAAGTTTGACCTAGTTAAAGAAATAGCATATCATATAGAAACACTGAGAGTTGATGCTCCTGTGACAAGTCGACCTCCGGAGGAAAAGTGGGGACGTAAGTTGATCAGTCTGACACACACACATTCACTCACACACTAGAGTCTGTTGATGCAATCATATTTGTCTGTGATGTCATATTTGTTGGTTTGACATTTATACAAAAATAATTCCATCAAATCATCTTACAATATCCTGATATATTATTTTGTCATTTTGTTTGATTTTGGGTTTGAAAAGTAGCAATCTTTATTTTGCATTCATTTTTTACTAACTTGTCCATCATCACAATCATTACATAATGATAATGGTATGAAGACAAGATATTCATTCTTTTTTGCTTATTTGCTATTATGACCATATTTAAAATAGTAACTTAATATATTTGAATGATTGCCATTGACTATTTGACTTACATAATTATACTAATTTGTGTTACTGTAACTTAACCATTCCTTTGTCATGGTAACAAAAAGAAAAATGACAGTCAGTAAAATTCTAATGTTATATTGTAAGGAACAGATTTTGATATCTTAAAATCATCATTATTATAAATAAGGATTGTTATCAAATCTGCAAAGTTGGTTGTGGAGAGAATAAAGACTTTGAGTCATGGATTTAAAAGTTGGAGTCCTGAGAACACCCCATGTTTTTGACATTTAATATCCTTGATATTTTGTATAAAGAAAGAATATTATGTCCTACGCATTAGTAGTTTCTATACTGCTGCTGTAATAAATTATGTGCAGTTTTGTGAATTTTTTTAACCAGTTCAGTATTAGTACATGTGGTATCCACAAATATTTGTTGCATAAAAGCCGTGACATACATATTATGGTGTTTATATTTAACTTACAACTAAAAAAAAACATTGAAATAAATTAATCAAATCTCAAACATGTTGAAGATGAGAAACTGAGATACTGGGAATGGTGCTGGAGTTAGATACAACAGTAGGTGTAAGATGATAATTATGTTAACAGTTGATTTTTGTTGTATTTTCATAGCTAACAAATGGTAAAGTTTTTTTCTCTTTTATTATGTTGTTGTAATTAATAAAGCACATTTTCAAAGTGGGAAAGAATTGTATGTTGTTATGTCACAATAAAATTTAAAAGTGAGAGCACACACAATATAAATATTTAAAGTAATTTTGCAGCATGTAATCATGTATAGTTATTGCTATGTTGTATATCATGAGCATTGAAATGTTGTTAAAAACCATGTCAACTACTTTGATTACATTGAACCTTAGATTATAAATTTTTGAGCTTAAAGACCAGTCAAAAATTCTACCATTTAATTGGCTGAGACCCAGCACAAATTCGAAATAAAATAATGGCAGAGATTGATATGTAGACTGGGTTACAACGTTAAATTTTGTATGGTTATTGTGAATGGTGAGAAGAAATGAGGTTTATAATATTGTTGTGCATTCATTGTCTATTACAGTAAATCATTGTACACATTGAGCTTACTTGTGATATTCTTAGTTTAAAAATGCAGTTGGTGCTACATGTATGTAATGATGAATGTTTAAGATTTGATCATAGTTATAATGGTATTTTTATTTTTATGAAGTTGAAGACCTATTATTAATATTTTAGCAGTGTTGATTTAATTCTGTAGTTATTTCCTGTCACCAGCTTTGGGTTATTATTATTATTTTTTTTTTCAAAGCAAAGAAACAGTTACGGTATATCAAGTTTTATTTTAGTTCAGATTTTTTTTTTAGCTTTATAATTATCTTCTTGTTACTTTATACTTTATAGTAAATGATAGTTGTTTCTTTAATAGACAAGTAGGTACTGATTTATAACTGCATAATCTACATTGCCGTGTGTTAAATATTCAGGGGAATTCCAACATGTAACTAATCATGCCGGACAAGTTCAAGCATGGAAGAAATTCTAAATCCCTTAATGTAAAATTTGGCAAATTAGGGCAAGTACAAAATACAAATGTGGAGGTAGGCAATGGTGGAAAGAAACTGAAACATTTCGTTTTTTTCTAGACACACGCTACACAAGACGTTATAGATGTAAAACTGGGATTGCAAGACGAGTTGAAGAAGAAAAAGTGCCTCCCCTTGAACAGTGTATTCTAACAAAGTAAGTTGAATCTTAATATTTATGTTAATATGGTGAGCAATATGTATTCTAACAAAGTAAGTTGAATGTTAATATTTATGTTAATATCATGGGGAGCAATGTATTCTAACAAAGTAAAATGAATGTTAATATTTATGTTAATATCATGGGGAGCAATGTATTCTTACAAGGTAAGTTGAATGTTAATATTCATGTTAACATTGGGTGCAAAGGTAACAACAGGTATATTTATAGGACAAAATTTAATGCTTTGTACAAAGAAATCTGGAAGTCAATTTCTACAAATAAAAAATACAAACTGATGTTAGATAGCGGATAAACATTTTGGTGACCAGTATTATTTCTTTATTCACTTCACCCAGAAATGAATGGATTTACAGAGGGCAGTGTCATTTTATTGTTACATAATGTTAACTGTGAAAGACTCTCTCAAATTGTTAGAAGGATACTAAAAAGAGTAAAACATTGAAGTTGTAAACATACCAATCATGGTATATAAAATATTATTCTGTAACTTTTTACTTTAATTCTGTATAAAGATACTGTTCCTGTATCCTCTTTTATAATGTAAACAATCAATCAGTTTCATGCAACATATAGGTATTTTTTTCATGTTAAATACTTACACATTATCATCTGTTTTTACATACATATGTTTAATATATTTACAGGTGGTATGGTGCAAATGTAGACTGGGATGGTGTCTTTCCATTCTATTGAGGTAAAAAACCTTACATGGATCAGTTGTTAGTGGAATTCATCAAATGGTCAGTTTCAGATATGTATTCCAACCAAGGACGAATCTCGCATACAGAATGAGAGTAAATGAAGTGTATTGTATAATGTTGTATAAAGTTTTAGACAACATGAAAACATTCCAGGACCAGCAACATTCACTTGCCATAAACAGTGTGCATTTTATAGCATTTATTTACTGAATTAATATAATAATTACACAAAATAAGTAAGTGTGCATGTATAAATGGTCTCATATTTTCAAAAGGTAGAATTAAGAGACATGTTTTGATTTTCAATTCATTTATTAAATACAAATTAACGCACATGGCTACTTAATGAGATAGTATGGACAAACTTGTTGTTAAATGACTATGGTTACTCTTTCACTGTGTATGCCCACCATAGCTTGGTAGCACTATTGCACAGATATACAGCCATCTCTACATGCACACTTACAAGATTTGTTAAGTGTATATCTTACAATTACCAACATATCTATTCATATATACAGAATTTTTGAGAAGGGTTGTTTATAAAAAAAAATTAAAATATCTAATATCACAACTATGCATGGTCAGCACATTTGTTCAACACTTATTCCGCCTCTGTTTGCAGGGTTGAAATGAATTATTTAATATCATTAATATTTTACACTTTGTTTTTACAATGTTTAGATGTAACAAATTCACCATAAATTACAAATTAAAACATTATTTTAAATGTTCATACAGAGTGATATAATGAGAGTCTTTGTCTTGAAATGGATGCACTGTATTTCAGCTTTATATAATTATAATAGATATATGGGGGAACATGTCTGTTGATTATTTAATCTCACCCCGAATTAGTTACGGCAATATGGCAGTATGGTATTTTTTTTATTTTAAATTATTTAAATTATTTAACTACAGCAAGTGTTAAGAAGGATGTGTCACATGTAAAACAATAACTTTAATTCTATGCTTTCCCTGCTAATGTCAAGAAAGTTCAGGTGCTTGAATGGATCTCCCTACATGTATATACCTCATATTTGGTGTCAAAAGTGTGGTTTTGAATTATTCAAATATATTGTTTAATTAATATTGTTATTTTTGTTTGGTTTGAAATATTTCTTTATTTTATTATGGCATGAGTAAGCTTGCTAGAAATGTTGAAATATGTGTAATATATGTGGTTTAAAGTTACTTGCTATTTGCTTTATTTGATGGGCAAGGCAAGTGAACATTTCACTTCTTCTGTAGTGGTCATTATACGAAATCCTTGCATAAAAACTGTGCACCTAGGACAAGACATGCATTAACAGATAGATTCTCATGACCATCCACCCTTGTTGCAGGTTTTTTAATATGCGTGACTCGGGCTTAATTTAAAGACAGCTTACTGCAATGATGGTCCTGGTAGTTTTAACGTCAAATGTTGTAATCAAATGATGTCACAGAAGCACGTGGAAATCATTCAAATAAGCCACAGTTTCTTTCTACAAAATACAAATAATGAAACACCGAATAATTAATTTGGATGTATACTGCAAGAAAAGCAGTAATTAATGCTCCCTTTTTTATCGTTAACAATTCTGCAGAAGCCCTAAGACTTTAAATTCCCATCCCTATGGGCTTGCGTTTTAAATGCGTCCTGGTGTTTCTGCAGATGTTAATGCATGAAAATTAGATGCATTTACACTCTATTATACAGGCTAATTTTGTTGATATATTTTTTTTACATGTATTTTTTTCTACATGTATTTCTTTCAGATGTTTCTGTCTCAATTTGATTGTCATCATTTTCTCAAGGAAAACATTTAAGATTAAGATTATGCATGTGGTTTAAAATTGCAAATATATAATTGTGAGAGAGATTAAAGCAGGAATTCAGATAAGATCAAATTAAGAAGAAAAATACAGTTGTAAATACTAATGATTCTGACACCAACTTGATCATCATTCCAGATTGATAGTTATGTTATATTTAGAAATGTAAGAGCCATCATTCTCTTGCTGGTCATTATGAAAACTGAGGGCTGCATTTTACTACAAATAAATGTTGTAATTTAGCACTGAATACCAGCTTTAATAGAAAATAACATTGGACCAAGTATGTGTTTTGTTACATCATGAATTAATGTTTAATTTTTGTAATTATGTTCTTTTTTTCTGTGATATCTAAGTATTTACTTTTACATATTTTTTAAAAATTTTACTATGTACATTTATATTGCACATGGTACACAGCTGCACAATCGTAGCTTTTAGCAAACTGTTATTTTTGTACAATTTATTTATTTACCAGGATGTTGATCATCTACCTGTGTTATAAAATATTGTTTGATGATTGTAATCACTGGTTTGGCTTTCCATTAAAATAGATCTTCAATCACTTACCAATGACCTTTGGAGTAAGATGAACGTCAAAAGATATTTTTACTATCATAAAGGTTTTATAAATGGACATATATCTTATATATTTGGCATGGAACAATTTTGTATGATAGTGGGATTTGAAGTTGATGGGGTCAAGGTCACTGACACTTAAAATAGAATTTTCAGGTTTTTGTAGTTCTGAGGTAATTGTTTCAGCAGCTGTGTTATAATGATGTTGGAGAATATCTATTGTTGTCACATGTACTGGTGTTTACAAACCTAGTTACTGGTTAAAACCAGTTATTTATTTATAAATTACTTTTGCCCATACCAAACCCTTGAAATCCTGACATACAGTTGTGTATAGTCCTAGCAGTAAAGCTTATTCACGTCCTTGCATTGAATTATATTATTTTTATATGATCATATTTTGTTGAAGAATTTTCTTGTGTATTTCACTGATCTTTACCAATTATAAGCTTTTGATCTGCTGCTATTTCTGTGATAACTTTGTACGGTATTAACCAGATTGCTATGTTGATGAAAATGAATGCATTTTAATTTTGGAATATTATAAATATTTAAATTAATCAGTGATCTTATTTCTACCATAATCCGTATCATGTTGAAATCATTTTTTTGGTTCTCTGATAGGTAACAAAGAATGGTACATTTGTATTATTGCAAACTTTTTTTTGCCTATTATAGTAAATTACATGACTGTAGTTTTAACAATTTTAATGAGCATTATGTGTTATACTGGTAGTGTTACTCCATGAGTTACCAATACAGCTGAAATACACGTCAACATAATAGAGCCAGATCAGTGTATATTATATACATATTGATGGTTGATTATTTTAGTACTTTATTACCAAACACTGTAATAGATAGCAGAAAAAATTCACATTTCATGTGTTATTTTCTTTTCTTAATTATTCTGTTTTTCACCAAAGTGTTTCATTATTATTGTATCATGAAAGATGAGAATTTTTTTGTTTTTGAAAATTTAGTTGTATTGTTCACTATATTTTGAGTAGTACATACAATACGTATATAGGTGTTGATTTTGTGTATTAATATTGTGAGGAATAAAACTCTGCATCTGATCTGTATGTTGTAATTTATCCATGTCATTAAAAAAAGATTGTTAAAGAAAAAATTAAAAGTTTACTTGGTAAATTGACTTTATTCTCTCAATAATTGAACTGTCTGTATGTGTGTATTTGTACGTCTGTTTAATTGACCTTTTCAGGTAAGTTAATTTTATGCTCCCTAAAGGGAGAGCATGTACTCACCCCCTTGTCTTTTGTCCATCCATCACACTCTTGTCTGGAGGAATTGGAAGAATTTTCAAAACTTCACACAGTGATAGAGACCTTTGAGAGGACCCAAGAATCATAACTCTACCTTGCTTAATTTTATAATTATCTCCCTTGAGTTAAAAATGCTTGTCAGAAGTATAACTGCTCAACTATTGATGATCTCATGGAAACTCCACACGGTTGTAGACTTGAAAGAGAAAGTGTATTTTCAAAGAACTATAACTCTACATTACTTAGTGTTTGAATTATCTCTATCATATTTAATAATGGTACTGCAGGGAATAACTTGAAAAATATTGAAGGAATTTGATTTAATCTTCACACAGTGATACAGATTAGCATGAGGTAATACCGTGCAAAAATGCCATAGTTCTACCTTGCTAATTGTTTTAATTATCTCCCTTTATGAAACTTAAAAGCATAATGTTTCTCAGGAGTATAACTTTTAAACTGCAAGTACAGTAATGTCTTACTGAAACTGCAAACGACTATAGAAACAAGTAAGAGTAAGTCCAGTGTTAAAGAACAATAACTCTACATAAATGTTTTTGAATGATCTAGTTTTATGATACATAATGATGTTTTAACCTGGAAATAACTTGAAACATGGATTTTATAAACACATCACACAGTGATAGAGACCAGATTACAATTTAAAGACTTTACCTTTCATCTTTGGCAGAAACATACCTTGATTTTAACACTTTTGCTCATTCACCTTTAGTTTGCATACTATAACAATGTCTGTCATATTTATAGTATGTATAGCAACTTTTTTTTTTATTTACTATTTTTTTTTTTTTTTTTGGGGGGGGGGGGGGGTAGGGTTTTGCGTTGCACCAACACGGACAGTATAGGTCACATGGCGACTTTCCAGCTTTACTGTAGGAGGAAGGCCTCACGTGCCCTGTTGTGTATTATTTCAGGTACCTGAGTAGAACCACGAACGTTCTTTAAGCTAGGTTGATAACTTCCTCATATGAAAGAATCCTGATGGGATTAGAACCCACAGTGGTTTGAAGTCAACCATCTTAACCACTCGACCACAGACGTCCCATTTTTTGTGAAGTAATGGGACAGTCTGATTCTAAGGTCAAGGTCACTGATGCTTAAATTATTTTTTCTACTTTTGCGTATACAGCCTTTATGTATTGACTGTTTCTCATTTAGTTGGTAAATATCTTGGGTGATACTATAACTTTGGATGAAGGAGAAGTGGTCACTTGGGTCACGGCAGAGGTTACCAAATTGACCAAAAAAAAAGGATTTGTACAATTTTGCCCATGCAGCCTTTATTTATTGACTGATATCTTTCATATACGTATATGTCCTCTACCTTGAGTGAAGTTAGGGGGAACTGGGTCCTTGGTCACTGGTACAAATATTAGATTTTTACAGTTTTTGCTTTTAAGACTTTATTGGCTTATGCGCATTAAATACATTGGCAAATATACAGGTTCTGGGAGCCTCCATCGCATTGAGCGATATTCTTGTTTTATCATTTGTATACGTATGCAAACAGCTTCAAACTTAGCCACTAAATAAACAAGACAAAAAACCACATTCATATCTAGTTAGTAGTTGCATAACTCTTGTTGACCACATTTCAACCTCTTTATTAACTCCGAGATAATATGCATTTTAATTTGAATTCATATGAGGTTTTAAAAAATTAAAATGCAATGACAAATTCATCCAAGTCTTACATTTGCTGACTCTTCCTGGGAACAGATATTGTGCTTTTGCATAATTCAAAGACCATCCATCAGGTCTATCTCTGCATGCATATATTTGACTGAAAAACTACCTCAAATCTTAACACACACACACATGCGCGCATACACACATATCTATATATAAATATGTATATTTGTTCTTGTTCCGCACTTTTTTATTATATATAAAAGATGAAAAGTCGACAAAGACAAAGTCGATGACTACATCATTTCTGAATATTTTACTTTTTACTATCTTTATCCACATTTTCCGTTTTAACTACTAAAATCTCAGGCTGTTCATATTTTGGCATAAAAAAAGATTGATTTTCATTGCAATAGGTAATTGCCGAAAGAAATACTCTGTCAACTTTAAATAAAGTCTTGGCTGATTCACAATCATCTGATAATTGCAAGATGCTTGAATATGTTCCTAGATCTGTCATGCATACGAAAACAGATCCAGTTTCATCAACTGCGATCCCATATGATGAGCTTTCCATCATGTATATGCCTAATATTTGACCATCCATAGACAAACAAATTACAGATTTTTTATTTCTCTCTGTAACATATAGGGTGGCACCATCTGGACTAACGGTAACATAATATGCTGATTTAAAAAGTGGCGTCCTACGATTGTCGTTTTCTATGCTTTTTAAGAGCTGTCCTTGAAGATCAATGATATCTATCCTCGGTCTACCTCCTAGACATTTTTTGAATGCTATTACATATTTTCTATTGAAGTAATGGACGCCACAACATCCCGCGCCAACATCAAATGTTTTTTGTTCAATCAAACTTGCGTCATCACAAACCATCACTAACTTTAGTTTCCCCTCGACTGGAAATGTGACAGCAATCTCATTCTCAGAGACGTTTGTTACATCAAAGGGTTGACAATCAAACTTCGAAAAAGATATTACTTGTTCCGTCCTGAGATCTACTAGTTTGCATGTATCACGGTGACTATCTATTACAGCGATACGACAGTTAGGTATCAAACATGCACCGGTGACAATACGTGTGCGAGTTTCGTTTATATCTTCTTTGCATGAGACATCTATAGATCTAGAGGATACTCTGCGTTTGGTTGTTTCAGAACTGACACTTTTTATTTTGCCAATTTCAATATTTGCTAATTCATCTTGTAGCTGACTTTTTGGATTATATTGAAAATTGTGAACTTTATTCGCACTTTTTAATGTGTCTACATCTCTTTCGATAGCATTCATTCTTTTCTTTGCCATTTTCGTTGCGACAAAAAGTTGACAACGGTTTCTAGAAGAACTACAAAGATCAGAATATATGTCTGATACTTTATCCGTTAATGAATTTATCAGGTCAGAGGCAGTGGTCAGATGAACTTGATCGTCGTTGTAAATTTCATCAATTTCAGCATACATGTCATTTTCTTTCCGATCAAATATGCTGTCTATTTCCTGTCTTTGTTTAACAATTTTTTCCTTTGCTTTCTTGCGGAAGGCATTGCTTTGTTCTATATTAGATACAACTCTGTTTTTGTGAAGAACTAATTTTTGTGATAGGTGTTGCACTGTGTTCTTCACTTGTTTGGACTCCTCACTGTTTTCCATGTTGGCTACAATATCCGGAACGAAATCAACGTCTTTACATGCACGGTGCCCCGTTACTATGCAAGCCGAACATCCAAGCTGATCGCATGAGTGGCAGAAATATTCTATAAGCTTATCTGTGTGCGTCGAACATTTGTCAACACAGGCGTCAATGGGATTTACTGCATCTCTATCTTGTGGCATGTTACATTTATCTTTCAGCACGTGGAGTTTAAGGGTCTTTTGCTTTCTATGAAAATCGAAGCAGTTCATACATAAGTATTCATTACAGTTGACACAAAAACCTTCAGCGGGCACAAGCTTCTTGTCCTCTCTACATAAATCACAGTAAAGTTTGATTTTTATACTTTTAACTCCGCTGACAGTGATTCCAGAATCCGCGTCGGAACCTTGCATTACAGAACGTCTTAAATCGGATTTGATGTCACTGCTTCGTTCTAAAACGGAATAGGAAAAATCACTGGAATTTTCCACATCGCCCGGCCTGTCTTCGAGATTTTCTTCACGATTAGAAAACGCCATTGTGATTACCCCTCAACTGTACTGTATACTAATAACGAAAGCACATTTAATTATCCGCTTACAAGTTTACTGTATAGAAGACATTTTAGAACTAAATATTTAACATACCATATTAAATTGGATATAAACTTGTTTAACCACGGTACTGATCAAATTATGGTGATAACAATTCAATTGAGGGGAATAGATATTGTGGTGTATACATTTTGTACAACATTCTTTCGTTGGTAGTTATGTTTATATCACGAATTCTCTGTTCCTTTATTCACGGTTCAGAACATATAAATAATTAATTATCAGACAATTAAATACACGCGATATTTATACAATGAGAAGGGCTAATCATACATAAACTAGTGGCAATATTACAATGAATATCATTTCAGTCACAATTAAGCAGAACAATCTAAGTGTGTTATTATTTTGGCTACAACGCAGTACATAGTATACAGCGGTGTCCAATAGCTTAATCTTTTCAAAACCTCTCCAAACATTTAAGCAGCATGCCTCTGGATGAGCGAAAAAATATTCAATAAATAAAACTTGCGAAAAATATACTAAAATATTAGGAAAGTAGAAAGATTCAAGATTCAACTAATAATATACATGTTATATATGAGCGATTAATGGTGAATTTTTCATTATGTGTAACTATATTTCTATTGCGTTACTGAAGGGCATTTTTTGCATATTTTGACCTCTCTTAGTAATTAACATGGGTTGTACATGTAAGTGCCATTGATAATGTGTAAATTGCTTCCTTTTGGTTACTATACAATATAATTTATTACATTTTTCATTTTCCAAATTTTCATGAAAATAAGCATAAATCTGAAGGCGTGCTGCTTTAAACTAATTAACAATTCGCATGCAATACGTCCTAAACTTCAGACACGCATGTTGTAATTTATACTAAATAAATATATGTTTTGTTACTTGCAAACAAGTAAAGCGCTGAAGCTTTATTAAATAACTTATCTTTATATATCAATCAAGTTTATACAGCATTAAACATTATACAATGTTATAGCATATAAACATAGTACAAAGGAAACATGGTTTACAGAAAAGCAAGTAATTAACAATATTCGTGAATGTGTTAGCTTGAATGGAGATGGCGTTTGAATTAATCATAGCAATAATGCGGAACTCCACTATTTCTTTGATTGTTATTAGACCAGCACGATGTAAAAACTTTACTATAATTGTACTATTTTTATAAAAAAAACCGTAAGGCAGAATTGTATAACACATCTGAAATGGGAGATCTCTCGACTGCAATGAAACACAGAAAAACAGAATCCCTAAAGAACGCCCAAAGCAACAAAATTGAAAATGTCGCAGGCTCGACTTGAATGAGCCTGTTCATGGACGGTACTGAAAGTTATCGTCCACGCCCCCGCCAGCACCGGCTTAAGCAGAGTTCACCATTTAAACAACAAAGAAGAGTGGAGATTGCAGACTTTGTTTGACTGCTATTAAGTCTGATTAGTGGAGCAGTATCTCTCACAGACCTTAACCCTTGTCAAGCTGAATGTCCGCAATGGACTTTTATCAAATATGAATACAAATTATTTCCTATCAAACTTCAATTAAGATAAGCGTTTGACACCTGATAAGCCGTTATATAAAAAGTTTATGTAGTACATTAAAGCAGCAACAACTATATACCATGTTTAGTAATGTAACGTTTCAAGGCACACAAACTGTGTTGGTAATTAAAAAGCTAGCTCGTCACCAAGTGTGGTTTGTGTACCTGGGCACGTTACATTTGGTGGCCAGTGTGGGGGATGTAGACAACTTCCGGACTGGAGTTGCCGTACCCACAGATTTCCCAGGCCAAGTCGCGGAACAAGACTTCTCGGAAGAAAAATAATGTAACGACGTTGGTAGAACGTCATAATACTGATAATGAGCATAATACTATGCAAAAACTACAGTTGGTGAATTAACATCAGGAAATGTTTCCACAAACCACTCTTGGTGGTGAACTAGCTTTATTACTGATAGAGTTTGTGTGCCGCACATGTTACAGAAATATTGATTACATGTACACGAAAAAAGGCGAAAATTTATGTTCTACAAATTAATAAGCAGGTATTTATAACCTTGTGTTACTGCTGGCGTGTTGAACATCATCCAAAGATCTTTTATGAATTGTCTTTAAAACATTGAAAAATATATAAACAAAGGCAAAGCAGATACACATTGCACTAATTAGAATTAGTTGTGAATAAATAAACCACATGAGTGATACTTTATCCATTAGATATCCTATCAAAATTGGAATTACCATGTTGCTACTAGTCATAAATATAAAAATGACACTCGTTATTTTCCCTGTTAATCTTCGTACATTTTTTGAAAGCCACGAGAAAACTGAACCAAATACAACAGACATACCAAAGCCAGATATGCCAACAGATATCCAGACCAAAATGTCTTCATCATATATAACAGCTAGAAGAAATAACACAGCCGACGAGCTCATTATACCGAAAAATGCTGCAATAACTTTAGACAAGCTAATGAATTTAACAATTACAATACCACACAATCGACCAACTGACAATGTAATCCAGAATAAAGAGGAAGCAGTCGAACCATCTGCCTTACTCCAATTAAGCTCCGATATCACAAACGTCATCAAAAACCCTATGAAACAATTTTCACTCAATATATAAAACACCATTGTTAATCCTAAGACTATGGTAAAAATAACTTTCATTCTAAGAGTAAGTAAAAATATCTATCTTGTGGTGAATCCGGGGAGACCGAGTCCAAATGTTCCGAACGACGATAAACATTACCATAGAGACAGCTTACAACTAAATACAAGAAGCCCGATACAAGACAAATAAGTGCAGTTAATGTAAATGGAATGTATACAAATGTTTCTCCATACTGAAGCGACGAGGAATTAGACAATTCGTCCGTTAAACCTGTTCTGTTATAAGACACAGTGGGAATAGTTGATAAATTCTCAAAAGATAAGACGGCTGATATGGACAAGTTTGTCGTGTTATACTGGTAACTAGGAGTGAATTTCTCAGCTAGGAATGGTTCTGCCACAAGTGGTGATATAATCCCAGCAATGCTAAATGCAGAATGTATCGCTTGCATATACGGACCTGATTTGTACTTCCATATAACTGTAACATCTGCGGTTGCAGCTACAAAAAAGATAAATACTTGATTGATAATAATATAAAAAAAGAGAAAAAAATGTATGTTCATTTGCTTATTAGGATGAGCTAAGATAATTTTCGACGCTTATTTATTTTAGATAAAATTTATTTTTTTAAAAATGATACGTAGGAAACGGAAATAAGGAGACAACTTATTATGATCGTAAATTGGAATAAAAACTAAATCGAATAGACCAAATCAAACACAAAATGTAACAACGTCTGTGATAATTCTTAGTCCCGCTTAGTCCAGCTCTGCTTATAGGGAGAGTTCTAAATTGACGACCATTGCATTGTTTCACACACAGCAAATACGCTTGAATAGTTAGTATGCATTGTATTCTTTATAACCCCTAAAACTACTAGATTGACTTTGACTCAACTGCTTAAAAGAGAAGATTCGTGTCTGTAATTCGTTAGTCTAAATTAGAAGTTGTTAGTGAAATACGTATATTTTGAAAAAGTTCAGTGTTAAGTCTGTAATAGTGTGCACGTTCGTTGTTTAAAACAGACCTGTGTTCGCTATTTTCGATCGTAAATTTTGCTTTCATTACTTATGTTTGAAAAGAATTAAGAAGTCCATTGAAAAAAGCTTTTTATTTTATAATAAATTTCTTTTCAAACATACAATGAAAACTAACAAAAACAATGTCAAACCAAAGAAATAAACTAGTTGGCGTAAAACAGAGCAAACAAAATGTTACCTGTGTCAATTGCAGCTGCACATATTCCATGCATGACATGGGCCAGGAGCATAGCAACAAAGTTGTAGCACCAAGGAGTTACTCCAGCAGCAACACCCATACCCCACACAAACAACATAAACATGAAGATTTTGTTGAAACGGTCATAAGCAAAACCTCCCAATATTGATCCTATCAGTCCCCTGTAAACAAATGACAAAATATTTAATTCCAATGTGCAACGTAAATACTTTACTGTTTACCATGCATGAAATTAAGATTGAAAACAGAATGTTTAAAAGAAGGCACAATCCAACATGAAAGAGGTACACACATCCGTCGTGAAACGTGTTTAAAGAATGGTCATGAACACACGCACGCACACACGCGTGAACACACACACACACACGAAAAACAACATCGGTACACCGCTATATATTACTAAAGATAATACCGGTCAAAGTATTTTTAAAAAAAAACACTACAGATATAATTTCCTTGAAAGACCATGCCACTTTCCATCATTATGCAGTTGATTTTATCTAGGTAATAATAATAGTTATCAATATAACATGATTTTAGAGACATATTCAAGACTCCATCTCCGAAATAAGTCCAATAAACAGGGAAATTAGAATACATAAACCATGTATACATTGTACTTTAAAATCCGTATGATTTACTTTGGATCCGACAAAAGGTCATTGAATATTCAAATGTCTCAGGTCAATATATATATTGCCAATTTGTAAACAATATGTTATCTTTATAAAGTCCCGGGTTTGGACAGCACTATAGTTTCAGTTAGAACAAGCCAGCGACAGTATGTACATTTGTATACTAAATTGCATTATAAAAGTTCAATTCAATTCAAGTTTTATATCACATTATATACCCGAGTGACTTTGCTGTAAACAACCACGAAGAAGTAGATAAATCCTTGTCAATAATGATTCTAAGATCTGGAAACGTAGGCCCAACCAAAGCATTCCTCCATCCCTGAAACATCATTTTAATGTTTCAAACATACACAAATACTGAAAAAAAAAACATTCCTCTCAAGAATGAAAATTCTAAACCACACTAACAGAGGTAGGTACACCATTATGTCAACAGTTAGAGATTAAAAATTTTACTCCATTGACGATTTTCTATTTTATTTCTCTTTTAAATTAAGTGACACGCCTCCTACGGTATACCGATAGGGTAATCGCCTTCAGCATAGTGTGTTGCTCATAACTGCGATACTGAACAGTACGATATAAGGAAAACACGAAATCGTGACAGTACGGTATATACGTGATGATAATACGCTAGAACGATAACAAAATACGGCAAAACGATAACAAAAAAGTTCGGTATTACGATAATGATATATTATTAATGTTATAATATATAGTGTCGTATTTAAGTTATTTTATTGTCGCTTTATATCATTATAGTACGTACTGTTCAATATATTCAATATTTTTCTTATATTTTGTCCAATGAAATCGATTCTTTGGTAAATATAATTTATATGAACGTCTCTTAATTTAACTTTTTGCCCCGTCAAATCAACTTATCATGCTCACATTGACATAATTTCATTGTGAAGTATGAATAAATTATAATCCGTGGTCGAGGGGTTACAGTCGATGACTTCTAATCCAGTTACCTCTCTGTCGTGGGTTCGATCCCCGGGAGATGCTTTGGTAGTTTAGCGCGGAGGAAGGTAGTCTAGTACTGGTGTTACTCTCCAGGAACGATGGTTAGGAAACTACCCGCCTATATGACTGAAATACTGTTGGAAAAAGGCGTAAAATGAAACAAACAAACATATTAAATTTGAAGTGCGGCGGCACACCGTCACGACAGATTTATTATCAATATAATGTCGACTGAAGTTAAAATCTTACCACAGCAAACATACTGATCCAGACACATGTTGTATGGAACAAACGGTGTCTGTATTCAACATCTTGTTCTTGTTTTCCAAACACACGTCCGACATTAAAACGTCTTTGAGCGCCTTCCTGTTGTTCAGATATTGGTGTTCTTGATGGTTCATCCGAGCTATCATCACTTTGTTTATCCATTACCTATTTTAAATGGTGTAAAACACTAGCTGTACTGTATTATATAATTAAAAATGAAAACACTGAAGAATCGGATGTAGAAACACACTCACCCTTATAAACTGTTTAACACGAAGATAAGTATTATGCATGGCACAATTTTAATTCTACATAATGTTATGATATAAGTACGCTCACGAGACCCAGTGTCTGGGTTATATAAGTATTAATATACTCACTAAATCACTAGCGGGTTAAAAGGGGCGTATACCATCCCACCATCAAACAAAAAGGCAGATTTAAAGAGAGAGAAATCATTCAGTGAATTTTATGGAAAAAAAGCAAAAAGACCAATAACTTGTGTAAAAATTTTCAGATTATTCCCTCACCCCTTTTCTCGAGAATCCTCTTTTTTCAGTCTCATTTGGAGTTTATTCTGGGACAGAATCCTTTTTGCTTAAATCGCTTAATCTTTGTAAGAATTTTAAGGATTTTTGACTTTGAACAATTAAATCGACATGAAAATGCGTAATCTTTAAGCTTCATTAAGCTCCAATTTTGGCTAAGCTCCAATTTTGGCTAAGCTCTAATTATATACCTTAAAAAAGTATGGTATTTTTTCACTAGTGAAATGATGAGAAAAGGGACCCAAAATTCACAAAAAAATATCATTATTTCACACCCGCTGTATGCCTACTTTTTAATACCTGATTGCGCCTTCCCCGAACTTGAAATCATCCTCGTGCTGCCCCTGTTATTTATTTAAAGTGTTCTGGTCCAGGTTACGTGAGGCAATTGTATACTAATTTTAGTTTCAATTAAACGCTCGACGCGCTCGATCTTGACGCCAAATTAAAAGTGTCACAGATAAGGAATTCATAATTAATTCATTACCTTTGTTCACCATTGGTTGAATGCAACTGTACTGTAGCAGCTATTTACGCTCCAATGACTCTATTGACCTCGCGTGACCTTAATTAAGTAAACTTTAAAGCAAGACTATGAAAAAAATGCCTACATGAATTCTACAATGACATATTTATTACTAGTGTATACATATTCAAAACCTTTCTTCCAATTATAAGTAATATACCTAGATCTTAAAGAAGATAGGATTTTTTCCAACTTTTTCAAATATTTACACGATTGTTTCTTCTTATAATGACACCGATTAAATTGCGGGAAATCGAAATTGAAACTCGACAATAAAAAGTTAAAAATTACTTGGATAAAATGACCGTCGAAGACTTGTATATAGACAATATAGATGAATTTGTGAAGGATGAAAACAAAATTGTAAGATACGTTTGGTTTTCTTTCTTTGATGTTCACAGCATTGCGTGTGTTAGGTGAATCTAATTTTGACTTGTATTTTCGCGATCTTGCTTCACGAAGACTTACGTTCCAAGCAAGGTTTTTTCGTAAAAATGGCCCGACACCATACCATTCTATTTGAAAAACCCTGGTCCAAGTTATATCAAGTGCGTTTATTATTTTAGAGTTTCAGTCTGAGAAGTAGTGTTAAAATTAAACTGCATGAACTTCAATTCATGAATAAAAAGTTCAGATACTGGCATGCGAGCAGTTCCCGTACAGAAGCAGTACCCGTATTTTTCATTTAAACGCTTGATCTTCAAAAATTCATTTCAAATCAAGCAGGTGCATAAACGAGACAAAATCTAAGTGTCAGTTCGGCAGTATGTATAAAAGTCTCATTTTAAATCACTTTCACCTGTGCGTCGTCAAAACGTGACCTTGTTTTCTCTGGGGGATTCCGTCCTTGCGCTAAAATACTTACACGTGAGGCATGTTAAAGGGTTTTCCACTAATACTACCTGTTTACAGATAAGTAGGCAATGTGATGAAAACTTGTTTAATTATCAGAATCGGTCTCACTAAAAAGCGTCCCGAAGGATTTTAGCGTCCCGAAGCGTCCTGAAGCGTCCCGAAGCATTATTGTTAATTTAAACAGTCAGAAGGGTTATATTTATTGTAAATAATGTATATTATTATGTATTGAGGTATTTGTGGTAGAAAAAAATAATCTTACTTATCATTTTTTCTATTTATATAAAAAAACTAATATACCTTCGACTCCAGTTCACTTGCTCAAAAACCACCGTATACCGACAAAGCGTCCGGAAGGTTAAATTAAATAGTTATCGAAACCAAAATTATTTTGAAATACTTCGTAATTTTAGTTAATGAAATAGTTATGTAAGTAAAAATAATAAGAAAAATGTTTTCCATACATAAAATTATCTTTATAGCGCCCGAAATCGTACGTCTATCCACGCATAGTTCAAGTTGCTAACTGACTAACATAGCGTCCCGAAACGTATTCATGTTTTTTATTTTTATCTAAGCAAAGATAAATCGTAATTAAGTTAATTTATGATATGTGTAAGTGACATCAAAAAGGAAATAAACATTTCATCCACAAAATATCATTTTACAGCGCGAAAACTGACGTTTCCCATGTTGCGCTAACAAAGCGTCCCGAAGAATTTAGCGTCCCGAAATGTCATGAAGCGTCCCGAAGCATTATTGTTAATTTAAACAGTCAGAATGGTTATATTTATTGTAAATAATGTACATTATTATGTATTGAGGTATTTGTGGTAGAAAAAAATAATCTTACTTATCATTTTTTTCTATTTATATAAAAAAAACTAATATACCTTCGACTCCAGTTCACTTGCTCAAAAACCACCGTATACCGACAAAGCGTCCGGAAGGTTTAATGTTTATCTGAACCAAAATTATTTTGAAATACTTCGTAATTTTAGTTAATGAAATAGTAATGTAAGTAACAATAGCGAGAAAAATGTTTTCCATACATAAAATTATCTTTATAGCGCCCGAAATCGTACATCTATCCACGCATAGTTCAAGTTGCTAACTGACTAACATAGCGTCCCGAAACGTATTCATGGTTTTTATTTTTATCTAAGCAAAGATAAATCGTAATTAAGTTCTTTTATGATACGTATAAGTGACATTAAAAAGGAAATAAACATTTCATTTTTTCGGTTTGTATGTACTGTAGGTAATTATACATTTAGGTGCACGAGCACTGTTCTTATAATCTATAATTATTGATTTGTGATTCATTGTCTCGTTCCTTATGTTGATTAGTGTGTTCATTTCATTGCAATCCTAATATCATTTTGTCAAGTTAATAAATAATATACATGACATCCCACCTAACAAGACTATTATCATTATGATTTGTTTAAATTGTCTAAATTTTAATTATTGTATTTCTATTTTTTTAAGCCGTAAACGGAGTGAAAGATTGTAATCTATCGATAGAGGAAATTAACCGCAATCGCTATGGATACCGCACCCCATCCACCCCCCGTTGTGTACGCATTACTGAAGAGTCCAGATAACTGCCTTTCCTAGTTTATTGCATTGTATATCCGGACATTCGTTCGTAAACTGTGAATAAGTTATATAATAGTTTTTAGACATTTTTGTGTATAATAACAGTACATATTTGTTGTTTTCTGTGATATCTTAACACTAAAAAATGTAAAATTTCAAAATCGTATGATAATTTTTAAAACTTTTTTTTTTATTTTCAGGCTCTATATCACAGTAGATATGTAAAAATAGTGTATATTACACGGGCAAAATCATGAAATTGTGAAAACCTGAAATAGTATGTAAGCAATTATATATCAATCACGATTTGTATACAGCCGTTAGTGTGAAAAATAGCATACCTACTCCTTAGATAGTCTCTTGTTAATTCGTTCAATTATATACATAAGAATGTAATTTTTTTTTTTCCAATTTCAAATTTTATTGCCTGAAACATTATACAATGTTTATAGCATATAATCAACATAAACATATATACATATATATGCAAGCATTGCATGACAACAACATCTACAACTATAAAGAATGTCATTCCTAGAATGCATGCATGCGTATGTATGTATAGTTCGACATTTAAATTTGCACGTGAATGTCGTGCATAACAGTTATCTACAACTATAAAGAATGTCATTCCTAGAATGTGTGAAATGTATTATTGGAATGTCATTCATAGATTTGAAAATGTATTCAAACAAAAGACACAGTAAATAAAAAGGGAGAAACACATTAACAACAACATCATAATAACAAGCCCTGCGTAGGTATCGAACCTATTAGTTCAAATCATTTAAAGTAACAGTGACGTTGATTTACCACCTGAGCTATCACGATGTTAGAATTAAACTATATGAGTCGCGTCACGACAAAACCAACGTAATGCGTTTGCGACCAGCATGGATCCAGACCAGCATGGATCCAGACAAGCCTGGGCATCCGCGCAGTCTGATCAGGATCCATGCTGTTCGCTTACAAACCCTATAACAAGTAGAGAATCTGATAGCGCACAGCATGTGTGTGGATGCGCAGGCTGGTCTGGATCCATGCTGGTCGCAAACCCATTATGTTGGTTTTGTCATGGCGCGGCTCTTATCTAGTTGTTGACACTATCGTTTTCGGATAATATGCAGAATTTTCCCTTTTAATGGACTTTCCCAACAATATACAACAATATACATAGAACACATATAACATGATTTAAAAAGTACATTGCCACTCATATGTTGAGTTATACAAGACTTTAGTAACAATTCAACGAATAAAGAGACTTACGTTATACTGCTATATATACTATATGCATGCTTATATCGTTAAAGCTAAGAAGCAGACGCTAATCGTTAAATAAAAAATCATTAAAATACACGACGATAAAAAACTGAATGTGGAAAAAAGGCACTATTGCGCAATTCAAAAAAAATTCTTCGGGACGCTTTGTTAGCGCAACATGGGAAACGTCAGTTTTCACGCTGTAAAATAATATTTTGTGGATGAAATGTTTATTTCCTTTTTAATGTCACTTACACATATCATAAAAGAACTTAATTACGTTTTATCTTTGCTTAGATAAAAATAAAAACCATGAATAAGTTTCGGGACGCTATGTTAGTCAGTAAGCGACTTGAACTATGCGTGGATAGATGTACGATTTCGGGCGCTATAAAGATAATTTTATGTATGGAAAACATTTTTCTCGCTATTGTTACTGTTTTGAGCAAGTGAACTGGAGTCGAAGGTATATTAGTTTTTTTTATATAAATAGAAAAAAAATGATAAGTAAGATTATTTTTTTTCAACCATAAATACCTCAATACATAATAATGTATATTATTAACAATAAATATAACCATTCTGACTGTTTAAATTAACAATAATGCTTCGGGACGCTTCATGACATTTCGGGACGCTAAATTCTTCGGGACGCTTTGTTAGCGCAACATGGGCAACGTCAGTTTTCGCGCTGTAAAATAATATTTTGTGGATGAAATGTTTATTTCCTTTTTAATGTCACTTACACATATCATAAAAGAACTTAATTACGTTTTATCTTTGCTTAGATAAAAATTAAAACCATGAATAAGTTTCGGGACGCTATGTTAGTCAGTAAGCGACTTGAACTATGCGTGGATAGATGTACGATTTCGGGCGCTATAAAGATAATTTTATGTATGGGAAACATTTTTTCTCGCTATTGTTACTTATATTACTATTTCATTAACTAAAATTACGAAGTATTTCAAAATAATTTTGGTTTAGATAAACATTAAACCTTCCGGACGCTTTGTCGGTATACGGTGGTTTTTGAGCAAGTGAACTGGAGTCGAAGGTATGTTAGTATTTTTTTATATAAATAGAAAAAAAATGATAAGTAAGATTATTTTTTTCTACCACAAATACCTCAATACATAATAATATACATTATTTACAATAAATATAACCATTCTGACTGTTTAAATTAACAATAATGCTTCGGGACGCTTCATGACATTTCGGGACGCTAAATTCTTCGGGACGTTTTGTTAGCGCAACATGGGAAACGTCAGTTTTCGCGCTGTAAAATAATATTTTGTGGATGAAATGTTTATTTCCTTTTTAATGTCACTTACACATATCATAAAAGAACTTAATTACGATTTATCTTTGCTTAGATAAAAATAAAAACCATGAATACGTTTCGGGACGCTATGTTAGTCAGTAAGCGACTTGAACTATGCGTGGATAGATGTACGATTTCGGGCGCTATAAAGATAATTTTATGTATGGAAAACATTTTTTCTCGCTATTGTTACTTATATTACTATTTCATTAACTAAAATTACGAAGTATTTCAAAATAATTTTGGTTTAGATAAACATTAAACCTTCCGGACGCTTTGTCGGTATACGGTGGTTTTTGAGCAAGTGAACTGGAGTCGAAGGTATGTTAGTTTTTTTTATATAAATAGAAAAAAATGATAAGTAAGAATATTTTTTTCTACCATAAATACCTCAGTACATAATAATATAGCTCATTTACAATAAATATAACCCTTCTGGCTGTTTAAATTAACAATAATGCTTCGGGACGCTTCAGGACGCTTCGGGACGCTAAAATCCTTCGGGACGCTTTTTAGTGAGACCCATCAGAATTTTCATCAATATTACTATATTAAATAATTTTATGGCTTTGATGCGTAAAATATCATGCATACAAGCATGACATTGCATGAGAATGCGTTGGGGTAACGGTACCGGGTGATAGACACCAGCGTTACAAAGTCTACGCTCTTTTTTTCTGAATTACATCTATTTATCTCTTACATGTCTTAGAAAATGGTCTGTTCAACAATTATAAATGAAAAATAGGTCCGATATAACAAAATTGTATAATTATAATGGGTTAAATTTTATGTACGGGAACTACTTCTCTTCATACAAAATAATGGATAATTTCGGTACCCCATATGAGGCCTCATAACTAAGGGTTAGTCTATGTTTAGAACATGATGGAATTTCCATGATTTGTGTGACGACCCGAATAGTTATGTGTAACCTTCAAATTTTGGTGAGTGAGCGTAATAAAAAATAATGTTTAAGTAACTACGATTTTTGTACGGGAACTGCTCGCATGCCAGTAGTGTAATAACTAACATGAGCTGATGGAGCACTTTTAGAATTTGTCCAAAGTAAAAATCGTAACCCTGTATAATATAGACACATTGTCTATCCCCTAACAAAATAACTATTGCATATAATTAAAATATGGTCATATGCATCTGACATTAACTCTAGAATATACAAAGTAAAGAAGTTATCTACATTGTTTGAAACTTTTTAAAACATGGTTAAACCAAAATATGTGAGACAAAATTTAACATACCTTTATGTGAGTAATGAAATTTGAATGTGACTTAGTGTTTCCATTTATCTTCCTAGGGCACAATTTGCACTGTGCTGTCACATTTCCAGATGTCTCTTTACAAAATTCAAAGACATCCAATGATATGACATTTTGGTTAGAATACCAGCCAAACAATGATGTATATCTTTCAGTTAGAATTTGGTTCACTGTATGGATTAAAACTTATTTCTTCATTGTGAGTGTTGTATTAAAACATCTCACTTGATATATTACTACCTTTATGGACAATCATTGTTTATTATGACAATTTCTATTATTAATAGAGAACATTCTTTCTTTTCAATAAAAATGTTGCTATTGTGTATCAAAATCAATTTACAGTCTACAATTTGTGATTAAGGATCATTATAAAGGAGTATAAGTTAAACTAACATGTGAAATAAATCATTTGAATTTCAATAGTTTCATGTAAAATCTGAAAGTAATCAACATCAATCAAATTGTAATCATAATTACAGACTGAATTTAAGCTGTAATTGATTAATTACAATTAATGTAATCAATTTTGAGCAAGGTAATCAATTACATGTACATGATGATTACAGTGTAATCATGTAATCAATTAAAAAAATCAATGATTACGATTAGTGATTACCCCAGGTCTGCCCTGTAACCCAAACCTATAAACACTAACCCATAACCCTAACCCTTGTCTGTAACTCTTAAAGTAATTTTAATGATTTTGAGAAACATAAACTGTTAAATATTGAAGAAATAATTTTGTGTAAAATGTTTAAAATAGCTGCAGACATATTTTAAAGTCCAGCTGAACTGACTGGTGAAAATTCCCAATCAGGCTTTATAAAATATGACATAAAAGTCATATTTCTAGAAAAATAATAAAGATATTTCTTTCAAACTTTGTTTATAGAGCATAAAATATATCATTTATATATGACATAAACAGAAAGAAAAATAAGTGGTTGCTGTCACTTTTGTGAGAATTATTTCCACTTTTTCATATTTATATAGAACATAATTTTTAAAGTGCTTACCATGGTCTTTTGACTTTAAAAAAAGTCTTTATTAAATCCTTGGTGAATGGGAATTTTGCGGCAGTATTTTTATTATTTCATACTACGTTGACAAGATGATATTTTGAAACTGAATGTTTTAAGATGTGTCTGAAAGTCTACAGTTACGAAATGTAAATTAATGTTCATCGACTGGTCAAACTTCTACAACATATTCCAAATAAATTATACATTGCAAACAAATTTGATATAAATACAAGGTTCTTTCTCAGACATAAAATGATGAATTTCCAGCTAATATTGCACAACAGAATCAATGCCTGTTTCAGGTCAATAAGCAAAAATATGGCTTGAGGGTAAAAAATAAAAATCTCCTACAAGATAATTGAAGTTGAAGGACTATGTTATATTACAACCTTATAACCAGGCATGGATAGTAATAGTTACTTTGCCTAGTAAAGTTACACAAAAGTTTTATGAATTGTGGCCCTGGGGTCATAAATATCCCAGCCCCAATGTGACCCAATGAGCAATTTCTGCATTGATGAATTATGCACTTTGCTAGCAATGGATCTTGAATGGATGACCTTTTTTAAAAAATTCAAGAATCCTTTCAGTACACCTTAAGATTATATGATCAGAATGAAGAATGTATAATCCACAATGTTATGTTTTTAGTGATAATGGTGACAGGTCATTAGATTTGTTCTTCCATCACTTGATTTGAGGTCATTGTTTACAAAAAAAATGTATAGAAATTGTGGAGGATGAAAATGTTAAATCTTTAATAACCAGATATTTCTAGTGGCAAAACATGTATCAATCATCTAGGTTCATGTAAATATCTTAACCTAATATGGTGTAACTTTATATTTTACTTCAGAAAAAATGTCCTCACTGCTGTGTGGGACAGTAGCTTTAGAATATACCCAAACTTTCATGCACAGTACATATCCATTGACAGAAATTATTTCTGATCTTTCCAGGTAACATATAAGTGGCTGAGTCAGACATTGCAAGTTCACTGTAATACTGCCAAACAGTAAGTTTAATTTTGTGATACTTTAAAAAGTTGTAAATAATTATATAGATAATATGCTTAATTAAATGAAAATTATTTAGTGCTGTAAAAGACTGAAGAAATGTGTAGGTAAGTGTTTATATAAAAGGAAATATACAATAATAAATATTTAACATATGTTAAAAAGTGTGGTTTATCAGTCTTACTAGTATTTCTTCTTAATATGTTTCTAGTTAAGTTCATTCCTTCTATCCATTTAATTGTTTTGTTTGTTTTCACAGGATGCTTTACAAGTATATAGACACAGAGAGAAATACGAAGGAGACAGATAGCTTATGTGTCACATACTTTGTATCTGGCCTGACCAAACCAGATGATAGTGGTGAACAGGTTGTTATATTATATATATATATGTTAATAAAATAGTATCTAAAAAATACAATATGATAAATGTGACCTCAACTATATATATTTGGCAACAAACTTTTTGAAAGAGAACTAAATGCAATAGATACATATTGTTTGGAAGAATCATCAGCGCATGATTTCATTTGAGTACACTTAGACTACATGTATATAATGAGGAAAAGCCTGTATGTATTATATGTTACTGTATATACATGTACTGAGGAAAAGCAAATAACTGACAATGTATTGTATTGCAGTACTCCTAATGTAGAAAAATACCAACATGATCTTGATGATATCACACCACCATATTGTTAAGCACATAATAAATGAAAGTAAATATATAAAAATTAAGTGTGAGAATAGTTGATAGATATGATAACAGTACAACATGGCTTGTTTAGTAATGATATGAATAGTGCTAATCTTTGATTATGTGTGTCAGCCCGGTGTCAGCTTAGTTGGCATCCTTTATATAATCCAGGGGTTGCTGGTTTGATCCTGGGTACATGTGATGTTTTTCAATGACTGTCAGACAACTGTAAAGTGTTTTGAACATGTCTAATATTCATTTGTTTATCACATCTTGTTTTGAAATATATGGGATCAGTATCAGTACTATAACAGGATCGGTATAAGGCTGCTTCCCCAAAGAAAGTTCTTTAAAATCATGCAGTTTAATACTGGGCTGCTTACCCAACCTGTCAAAAAGCCCTGAGTACATGTAGTTGGTCACTTGTGGGGAACTTATTATTTACTGGTTAGTGTTAAACTGTGTAGAAACAGTCACACGTTGATTATGTAAACTTTGTTCTTGCTATTTATATGAATTGATCAAATTAATTTGATAATGGGATGGCACTTTGGCCAATGAAATATTGCAAAAAAAATTACAAAATATTTTTGCATTTGATACATTTTTCCAATAGAAATTTAGAGTGTCTGAATTCTTCATGTAAGAAAGCTATTCATGTAGCTTACAGAATGTCTGTGGTTCTACTCAGGTGTCCGTTTATGGCTCTGAAATGATGTTAAGAGGGGCAACTGAGGTCTTCCTCTACCAGTAAAGCTAGAAAGTTGCCACATAACCTAGTGTTGGTGTGATGTAAAACCCAACCAAATATCCCCCAAAAAACAAGATATTGATTGTTTGGGTATAGTGGAAAATATTGATAAAGCTTGATCAATGATGTTGTAAAAGTTCATTCAACTTGCATAAATCACAGAACTTTGTGCTTGCTTCCAGGAAATAACCAGTAATTATATAACATGTTTTTACCAATGTAGGACTTGAACCTTTGGTTGATAGCCAGACAATCATAACTCCCTGTTACAATTACAATTTTCTATTTGTTATAGATGTTTAAGTGTACAGTAGTACCAGAAGAGAAACTAGAGTCATGTAAATCAATGCTGGCAATCCTCACAAGCTGCCATGTTTATAGTGTGCAGAAATCAAAATTAAAGGTTAACATTCTATATTTTAAACTTCTTGATTATATCCTTCATTATTGTGTAGAACATGTTTGTATTTACATAAATGCTTTATATACTATATTAATGGCAGACATGACACAAGTTTTGTTTAATTGTTGTAACTCAATTTATTAAATTTTCAATATTTTTTTTGACTGGAAAATTGTACAAAATCTATGATATAGGTTTAATAGTTTTGAGGAAAGAGGGCCAAAATTCATTTATCTATAGATAATTATTGATGCTAGTTTTGATCATGCTATAACCATTATGTATATTATAATAATGTGCTGAAGTAAATGTATTTTTGTTGAATTACATCGTAACATGTTAAGCTAATCTATTCTGTTGGAACCTTGTAAAATAAGGGAAGATCATGTGTTGTATATAAACTTTGATTTTGTTGCAGGATTCCAATGCTTTATATATGACAGACTATGCCAAGTTTAAGGAGAATGTATTTGATTGCAACAAGTAAGTTTTTCTTTCTATGTCTGATTGCTATACAAATATATGAATTAACCTTTACAAAGCTGAAACATAAAGTGTTAAGCCTTTGCCACGGTAGAAAATGACCTTGAATTTCAGGTTTAGCAATATTCATAGAATATGACCTTGAACTTTCATGTATATAGCAGTATTTGTAGAATATGATTTTTAGATATAGCATATGACCTTGATCTTTCAGGTATAGCAGTATACATTATGACAGAGCAACATTACGATCTGAAGATGAGCTAAGCCTTCTATCTGTTAACTATACAGCTACAGAACCAGAAAAGGTAAGACAATGCATAGTTATAAAAAACAGAGCTCATACTAATTCTCTATTGTTAAGATAATTTTATTTCTTAAGTTAATAAGTATTTTTAAAATTAAAATTTTTTGGTCACCTAAACTTTAAGATGCAATATTACAACTTTAATGAAGAAATGGAATTGAAAATTGTCATTGCATATTGTATTTATACAAGTGTATATATCAATTTTAAAAAGAAAATGCAGATGAAAGAAGAATATTTACATGGACTATTGTAATATGATAACCTTAAGTTTAAATATATTTTATCTTAATTGTTATGAAAATTTGAAACTTATTTGGGAGTCTTCTTCCTAGAACTATTAACCAGTACTGGTGTTATGTCAGGAAACATGGTTGTTACCCAAGTTGGGCTCATACACACAATCCTTGGGTTTAGAGGCAGGCATTCAGTAAGCCAACACTCTCCTTATGCTTTAAGATTTGAAGAGGTAAAACTTTTTATGGCTTTAAGCATGTATAACAGTTCTAGTCTGAATTAAAGCTATAAATTTAGAATATATGTTTATTCCAGAAGCCTAACACTGCATCAAATGGCGGTACAACATCAAAGCCAGCAGGCAAGAAACAGCCCCAGTCAGATATTGCTAGTATGTTTGCCAAGTCTGATGCTGGAAAGAAAGACAGTAAAGCTGATGTTAAACCATTGGTAAAAGAGGAGCCAAAAACTTCAACAAAGGTAAATTTTCTGTAAAATATCATTTTTTCATATACGGAATATCACACTTTTTTTTTAACAAAAATTTGCAAAATATGAACTTTTTTTGGCCACTAGATATAAGCTTGTCATGTGCAGACTTGCAGGTTTGCTTTCAATTTTAGCTCAACTTTTTGAAGAACAATAAGAGCTAATGTTTTCACCCAGGCACTGGCGTCTCACTTTTGTTAAGTTGGTATCTCTAAAACTACTGAAGAGAATTGGTTGGAACTTTACATGCTTGTTCTGTGAACATGATTAGTAAAAGTCCCGTCACTCTGAGTTACCTTTTTACAGAGTTATGCCGCTTTTCTTACTGTCAAGCTCTGATAAAAGCTGATCACACTGTCTTACCGACAACATTTGTTACTTACGACAGTGACAGAACATTTCTAACAACTGTCCAGTAGTTGTGAATGTCTGTTGGTTTGCTATTTGTATCTGACAGAACCAAACTAGTGTGCTCTGCAGATCTCATATTTCACAGTTTTATCATGTATGACTAAATTATTCAAAACTGTGTATTTAGACTGTTTAACTTAATCTGTGATAAAGGCGTTCATGTCATATAAGATGACAATTAAATTCTGGGAACAAATTATTAATACTGTACAGAATTATATGTCAGAAGTAAAGTTAATACATTGCTGGTACTATACTTGTTCTAAAGGTGAAATTGTTGTCTTTGCTGTCCTAGAATCACTGGCCCCTCATGGCTTGTTAGTTAGATGTCATTCTGATACATGAGAGGTTCTGTTGAAAGTTCTATACTGGTGCTGACACCTATAACAAATCATGCTAACCATTTGTCAGTTAAGTTGGGATAAAGTCATGATATTTTATTGTTTATGATTTTTTTAAAATCAAGTGGCAGTAAGAATGGTAAATCTTCGTGAAAATTGTCTGAAACAAAATTGCTGATGTGAAAAAATAAGATTTTGATGTACAGCTATATAGATTACACTTTTCAAATTGAACAATTAATTGTACAATAATGTTTTATTACAGGATAAAGGCGGTAATAAAGGTGGTAATAAAGGTGGCAACAAAGCTGGTAACAAAGCTGGTATGACGGCATTCTTCTCCAAACAAACAGGTTAGTCATGTAGTAGAAATACTTCAGCATTAAAACAATTATGTTCTTGATTCCCTACAAAATCTTAAAAGTAGGGATTATCTCTCAAATAATAGAAATAGACAATTATAAGTGTAACATCTCTTACAAGTTTGACAATGATAGTGATATTTTTATCTCACTGTTACTGTTTCTAATGGGAAATATACTGCAGTATTAGTCTGATTTTATTGGCTGTAGTTGTTAACTTCATTTGCTTGAACTCATCACCCTGTTGTGACAAAATTACTATCCCTGTTTCTCGTATTCTCGTGGTTTCTCGTATTCTCGGGGGAATATTTAAAACGGATGGAAGTGACACGCGCGACTTCCGTCGATATCCGAAAACATGTCTATTTAGCAGAGCATTTTCATCTCCATTAAAAAAAATAAAAGAAATGCGACAAAATCAGATAAAAAAACAAAAAAAATGTGGAAGTAATCGTAACATCAAGAGAATAAACATTAAATTTATCAATTTTCCCCTAAAAATCATAAATTTTCTAGTTTTTTTCCATGTTGCAGAAACCTGTAGCGGGTCTTTGACGCAAGAGGCTTCAAATGACGGTCTCAAACTACTATTTATACAATACAGCTCAAAATATTTGTTCCACGAATAGATAGTATAAAAAAGATATGAACTTCAATTAAAAACCAATAATGAAACATTGTTTGTCCTAAACACATTTCATTTTTGACAACTGCAATGGAAAACAGTAGTATTCATTGTTTAATGCTCATATAACTAATAAGTCACTAATAAATAAACGTAAACTTAATATATATTAGAGAGATTATGTAAATAACAACACTAAATGGAGTTCAAACTATTTTTGAAACAATCAAAATCATTTGGTACCAAAGAGGTGTCAATACGATCCTAAAAGTTTGATATGGCCTGTCAAACTGTTATTAAAACACAATAAAATTACAGATTTAGGCCATTTTACACTTAATTAGGTGTGGCACTAATGATTTGAACTGGTATGTAGAATAAAATCATCACATAGCGACCAGCCTTAACAACCAATCAAATTCCACGAGAATACGAGAAAGCACCTGCTTCACATAGAGGGTGAAGGTCAGTATATACAAGCAGAAATATCTTTAGCAGGGGGTCGAACGTATAGCGGTGCGATACTCCTTTAAGCGAGGTGAATTCATGCGATACGCCCTAATGGCGGACGGGAGCGAAAACGAAAGTGGGTATGAGCATATTTTTTACCAAATATTTGTTGTCTACTGTAATTTTTTGAAGAATAGCATTGTGCATGCTGATCAGAACTTATAATTGTGCATGATTGTCAAAATAAAATACTAATTTTCTTAAATTTGAGGAAGTTATTGAGGTATTTGTTGCTGCAAATTCAATCGTCAACCTGATATGCACATGCAAACGAGTAATGTATCAGTCGTTTTAAAACGAGATATTCGATTAGTTTAAGTCCCAACATGTTTATTTTTGAAAACAAAACGATATACAAGAGAAGTTTTCAATATCTATCCGAACATATATAAACTATTTCCAGTTTTCTTACTATACGCCTAATATTTGGTCCGATAAACCAACTGTACGTACAAATGTTGGTATGTTTTTCTGTATTACAGTACATTCTTATTCAATATTGATGAACTATCAAGTTTTGAGTTTGTATATTAATCATATGTAAATCACAGTGTCAATTAAAACAACAGTTTCAATTAATGTATTATACTATGATATAGTTAATTTAAATATTCTTTTCTCACAAAGGTTAATCATTAAAATGAGATAAGTTATTGCACAGAAATTTGAAATTCTATCAAATAATCAATAGTCACGATAATATTCGTTTTGTTTCTTCCATTTATTCAGTAAAGGTTTTATCATTTAATAATATGTTTTTCTATTATTAATTACATATTTATGTTGTCAGAAAAAAATAACTTTAATTAAAAAAGCAACATATGAGAAATGGATCTACTATTGTATTACATGCACTGGTCGAAAAACGCTCCCATCCATTCTTATGTTCATTCAATACCTTGAGAAGTACATGTAATAAATTGTATGTTTTTTGTGTTTTTTTCTTTGCAATGGAACTTGAAATTTATAAAAAAAATACTGGTTTGATTTCCTCTATGGATTGGATGTTATATATTATATACAGAGCACATCATTGTATTTCAGTAATTCTGATGTTTGTCATTAGCTCTGTCGCTTTGAATATATAACTATACTACTCCATAACCAGTGTATACCAAACAGCTTTGTGTATTTGCTTATGAAAGCATTCATACTTTTAGTGATTTAACATATCTGCAAGTAGTTTTACTTTAAAACTAGGCTTTCTCTGCAACATTTAATGTATAGCATTACCCCTCACTTTTTTTGTAAATATTCATTTCCACTGGGAGTTACTCTTACTGTTAAAGCAAGTGTACCATGTGACTAAGAGATTTGTACTGTTACAGGCCAACAGTACTTTTTAACAGTATAAAATCTGGGCAAGTGTTTTTTATGTAAATAAAAGTATTATAGATTACAGTATCTGTTCGGGAAATAAAATAAGTAACAGTAAAAATATCAACCCTCCTAAAAATACTGTTTCCCTCGGCTAACACCTTGGCTAACAGTATTTTCCTTGGGATGATATTATAACTGTAACCCACAAACCCATGTGATATTTATATACTACTCCATAACCAGTGTGACTCAATCTAATATTATATACTCAATAGCTATTTGTTTATTTGCACATGTGTCAGCATTTGTACTTGTGGTACTTTACCTATCTGGCAGTAGTTTTGTTTGTTAATCAAGTTGTTATGTTTTAATTGCTCTGCAACATTTACTACTGTGTATTTGCACATGTGAGCATCAGCTGTTTCTAAAAAAGACACTGAGCTGTTTGATGTCAAATGACTGACTGAAGTTTGAAATTGTAGTTTTGTGTTTTTTCCTGACAGACAGGCCACAATTATGTGCACTACAAAAATAGCATGTTCTAAGCAACATTTTAGAAAAGAATTTTACCACCTAATGATTTTTACCACCTGGTTCTCAGTCTCTGGCTCTAGAACAGCAGCGAAATGTACTTTCACTGTATTTTATAGGTTGTCTGAAATGTTCAATTCTATTTATAATATGAAAAAAATATCAGTTTGACAGCAGCATGTACAAAAGATCTTAGAACCACATGTAGTAAAACAGCCCTTATATCACATATTAACTGCTTTTTTTAGCTCGACTATACGAAGTATATGGAGAGCTGTCCTACTCGCCCCGGCGTCGGCGTCCGCGTCCAGATTTCAGATTAAAGTTTTGGTGCAGTAAAATAATTTTCACTATAACTTTGTCATTTCTTAAGGTATCATCTTCAAACTTCAAATATATGTTCCTTATCATCAACCACATCTTATGTGACAAGGTTCATAACTCTAGCACCAATATTTTCAGATTTATCTCCCCTTGAACTTAGAATTTTCCTAAAAAAATACTATTTTTTACTGTTACTTCTTTATTTCTTAAGGGATCAACCTCATACTTAAAATATATGTATCTTATCATCATCCCCATCTTATGTGACAAGGTTCATAACTCTAGCACCAATATTTTCAGATTTATCTCCCCTTGAACTTAGAATTTTCCTTAAAAAATACTATTTTTTACTGTTACTTCTTTATTTCTTAAGGGATTAACCTCATTCTTCATATATATGTACCTTATCATCATCCCCATCTTATTTGACAAGGTTCATAACTTTAGCACCAATATTTTCAGATTTATCTCCCCTTGAACTTAGAATTTTCTTTAAAAAATATTATTTTTTAATTATTTCTAAAGGGATCAACTTTATACTTCAAATAAATGTACCTTATCATCATCCACATCTTATGTGACAAGGTTCATAACTCTAGCACCAATATTGCAAGAATTATCTCCCCATCAACTTAGATTTTTTTACTAGAAAAATGTTATTTTTTACTATAACTTTTTTTAGTTTTAAAGGTATCTACCTCAAACTTCAAATACTTATTCCTTATAATCAATTATATTTTATGTGATAATGTTCATAACTCTTGAAGTAATTTTTACAGATTTATCTCTCTTTGAACTTAGGATTTTCTTTAAGAAATATTATAACTTTGTTACTTTTTAAGGTATCTACTTCAAACTTCAAATACATACTTCTTATCATTACATACATGTAGTGTGACAAGGCTCATAACTCTAGCGTTACTATTTCTTTAATTATATCCCTTGATCTTGGAATATATTTTAACGAATGTTATTTTTTTACAATAACTTAATACATAATTATACATAATTGATTTTTCTTTCATAGTTTTGTCCTCCTTACTGCGTCCAGTATTTTATTAGTCGAGCTTGGCTGTCTCATGTGACAGCTCTTGTTCTGAAACGTTCTGCCTTAAAAGTGAGTTAATTTATACCGGTACAAGATTTCTTAACTGCATGGCTTCTTAAATTCATTCTTACATATTTTGGTCAAATTCCTACTTTTTATCTAAGATCTTAGAGTAAAGGTTACATTTTTCCAACTCTTAAATATCACAGGATAGTTATTAATTATTCAAATTAAGTTCAAACACTTATATAGATGATTATACAAAACTTTTATTTCAAGTAAGTCTTTACGGAAAGAAGAAGATTTCAGAATTCCGGAAATGGGCACATATATGGTATATATCTTAGTATAATCATAGGAAAACATGTACAACAGATGTGATAATGAAAAATATCGAACCTTTAACAGCGTACAGTTATTTTATCGCGCCAAAAACCAGCATACACTTAAATATTTTGACCAATAAGCGTCTATGTATATTGGAGCACAAAGGTACTTGCTATGCAACTCAATTATGATTACTCTTATAGATTAAAGAAGAAAAAGAAATTAACTATATTAACATAAGCTTGCATTAAGCGATTTTATTCACCGATCCAAAATTAGTTGCCGTCAGTTTACCTTCAATAACTTTTTTAATTATGAATTTAGGCCTCTGTAATTTTGATGAAATGTGTGTCGGTCCTATCTTCACATCCTCAATACAAAATATGCAATTGTAATCGAAGCTTTATGAAATACTTAATAAAAAAACACTCACTCTGACGTGTGTTTACACGGTTGAATCCGCCATTAGGGCGTATCGCATGAAATCACCTCGCTTAAAGGAGTATCGCACCGCTATACGTTCGACCCCCTGTTTAGTTTTGCTTACAGTTACGATCTTTCTTTCTTTGTATTTTGTTAATAAGGTATTTCTCTGTGTATCATGCTAAAAATACTGTAACAGAATGTTTAATAAATATTATGCAATCAAGTTTAGTCCTTAACCCCTCGAGAATACGAGAAAACAGGATATATGATAAATATTGTTCTACCTTGGATCCCTCAAACATTGATCAATCGAACTTCATCTCTGGTCTCTTCAGCAGAAATATAGTGAAAACCACACATTTTGGGTTGAACACAAAAGGCAACAAAAGTTGTTGGTCAGCATGTTCTGAATTAGTGACAGTCAGCGTCACATGTTGTAACACCTCGTGATTGTGATAAAGGCAATTAAGGTTGATTAAAATTAGAGGTGCTGTAACCGATTTGTTTGTTATGATAATATTGTTTATTTGCCGTCTTTAGTAACGATACAAAAAAATACATCGTGACATTTGCACATCATTAATTATGACTGTGGTTCATATAACGTGTTTTGTAAAGTACTGTGTTGTTGATTATCTTTTTATAGAATGATTCTGATACATGTTTATTTAAGTAAATGACTACAAATAGATGCTGCTGTAAAATGATTGTTTTAATCTTTCATGAAATCATTGTTAAGATAATATTTATCCCATTATAACCATATAAATGTATTTTGAACATAGTTCAACAAAGTTGGAAAATGACTGCCCAATCGAATGTGAACAATTACAATATGCATTAATATATAGATTAACACAGTGTACCGTTAATAATCATTTGATATCACTAGTTTGTATTTTTCGGAAAAATTTTTAATACTTAAAAAAAATGATGTGTTTTCAACGAACTGATGTACTAACAAACAGTTATGTAGATGTATTTATCATTCCTCTTATGTAAGCTGGAAAACCTTCAGGCATATGTTCTAAGTAAAATATGATATAATTATTGGTAATATTAATAGTTCAACCTTGGTTTGCTCAAACTACCAATCTCTCGAACAAATTTGCACAGACCCTTCGAGTTTGAGCAAACAAAGTTTGACTGTATAATTATAGTTAAACATGTTATTTACCTGCTAGTTAAAAACATTCATCTCTTTCATAGGAAAAGTAAAATTCACTCAGTAAAATTATGCTTAATCAGGGATTTCTTTTGGCAGCCGATATTGGATCATATTCCCAATTGAAAATAGTATAATATTTTCCCAATCCACAGTAAAAAATTCCCAATTGAAAGTTACAAAATAAAAATATTGAATAAAAAAACTCTAAAATCTTTGAAAATAAGGGCTTTTTCATTTCACTGTTAAAGTGCATAAATGTTTGAAGATGCCATCCTAGACAGTGATTGTTTGCATTCATTTAATCACTGCAAATTTTCAATCATGCATTTTTTCCCAATTTTTAACAAAATATCGCTAAAATTCCCAATTCCATGGGTATGGGTCAAGTTCCCAAAATCAGGCAGTTAAGAATTTCTTTGTAAAGTAAGATCAAGTTAGTCAAAATTATAATATACTTATAATAAAGTTTGATTATCAAATTGTACAGATATCAGATATACATCATTTGGATACACAAACATAGCTTAAATACAATGCCAGTATCAGTTTTACATTTTATATTATGATAATTTAGATATTGTAAAATCTTGAATATTGAAAATTTACATCTCTTTTGAATTTACATTTTTGATAAAGTGTATATCAAATAAATAGAAAACATACATTTATTTAAATATTCTAAATTGTAGACAAAAAAGTACAAGAAAAGTCACCTGAGAAAAAGAAATCCCCTGTTAAAACTGAAACAAAGTCAAAGAAAACAGCTAGACAAGAAGATTCGGGTAATTATTGATAACATTTTTACAGTTATATATATCATACAGAAGATATTTAAATGAAACATACAGGTTTATAATTCATGACATTTATGAAAAATCTAGATGAAGTATTTATGAAACACCTAGATGAAATATTCATGAAACATACAGATGAAATATTTAAACAGATGATACATTTAAAGCCACTCTCCCACATAAAAGGGTCTTAGAAATATCAACATATTTGTTTACAGTTATTAAATATGCATAAAAGTAAAATTTCCACGAGATAACTGTGACTAAACGGTTGTTATGTTTCATTTGACCTAGATATACCCATGAACATGTAGCAAATAGGACAGCTTGATGCAGGTAGAACTTACTATATAAATGTCAGTTTAAAATTATCTAGTTAGCTTATCAAACGTCGATGGCTCTGTGTAAGTGCCTATTTTTCCGGAAATAATGCATGGACAGGCACCTGTAGTCTTTCTCCACCAGTAAAGCTGGAAAATCACCTATGATTTGTTGATGTAAGGAAATATATATATAGATTATATATTCATGAAACATAAAAAGACACAACAAAACATGGAAGATATATTTATGAAACATTTAGATGATGTATTAATGAAGCATATAGATTCAAGAAACATGTAGGTGATATTTTCATGAAACAGATTATATATTAATGGAACAATTAATGTAATATTAATGAAACATATATCAAGTATTATCATATTGTCACAATAAAAATGTTTCATAAAAACATTTTTTCTGTAGATGAAGAGATTGTGAGGTCAAAGAGACGAAGGACACAGGACCTGTTTGACAGTGGCAGTGAAGAAGGTTTGTTATATAGTAAAACTTGTGTTACAGACCACCTCTGTCTAAAACCTACAATAGTAAAACCTGTTCTTACAGACCCATTAGCTAATTTTCAGACACTAGGTTGTTCAATAAGAAGTATAAATGTAAGTATAATCTTGAAAATGCTTGACAAGTAACTTTATATCCAATGATTATGGGTCATGTATATTAACTATAATTAGTGCTCGCCAATTTTTTAAGCCAATCACCGACGAGGATTTTTCAAATTTTCAGGTTACAAATCTTAATAGAACAGATTTTATATAAACTGGACGTTGTATATTATAAAACGCAAGTGGGCGGAGCACTAAGCCGGTTAGAGTGCATATTGGATGTTCTTCTTAAATAAGAAAGCTACAGTCGCTTCGCAAGCTCCGCTCCTTTTTAGCTTTCTTATTTACGAAGAACACCCAATATGCACTCTAACCTATACAAACAAATTTAAGTTTGTCACACATTGTTTTACTGTGTTTCTGTGAGAAGTATTTTGTTATATTAGGTTAAAAAAAAGATATATAAGACGGGTTTATTCATATTTCCATGTAAATTGATTGTTTAATTAATGCCAATCATGGCCCCTTGTAGGCTTATCTTTTAGACTGCCAAAAGCTAGTTGATTCCATGCCACCAATATAAAGTCATAACAGTCACAACATCCACCAGTTGGAATAGAATTTTATAGACTATATCCCCCTAAATCAGTAGTAGTACTAAATTCTGATCAGTATATTTTCAAACTGTTAGCTAGATTTTTAATGATATTCATAAATTCAGAAATGGAGGAGGAACCAGAGAGTCCAATACCACCTACACCGCCCCCAACTCCAGCTGTCGCTGAGCCAGAAATCAAAGCTGAGTCTCCAGATATTGAGGAAATACAAGAACCTGTGTCAGAAAAGCATTCTAAAAGTGAAGAGTCATCAAAGGGAGCTCAATCTGGTAAAAGAAGAGTAAGAAGAAGAAAGCAAGTCAATAAGACCTACATGGATAAAGATGGATTTATGGGTTTGTGATTATTAGCATTTTAACTATTTATATTGTGTTACACAATGACGGGTGTTTCTAGAGATTATGTGTTTTAGAAATACTGAGGTCATTATTATCACTTTACAGGACACAACATATACTATAATAGTTCAATGAAATTTTTATGTTCTCATCTCTTACACAAAGTTTATCAGTCTCAAATGTTCCGAGTATCAAGGTGTTTGCAAACTTCTTAATAAAAAGGGGTCTAACCCCTCAAAACATCAAAGGTTGATATAAACTTTGTGCCAGAGATAGTTATATAAAACATCTCATTTTGATTTTATTACTATTTGAAAAAATTATTTCACCGATTTATTACATCATTTAATGGCATATTGTCAGGGCTCCAGATAATTTTTTAGGCCATTGAGTATTTACTCATTGATTTTTTTGTGAATGAGTAAAACTTGAAATCTGAAATTTGGCAGGAGTATTTTTACTTGTTAAAATGTTTGTAAAAGAGTAAAACATTTATTATGCTTCCATGTTTATTGCATTATTGTACTTGTTATAGAAGATATGTCAAAGTCATTTCTTTTGCTTTTTGGTTTATAATCTTGCATTTCCAAACAGCATACGTTTTATCTGAACCTGAGGCATGTTTCTGTTGCTCATACGTGGCAGCGCTAATTATTTCATTAATTGTAACCTTTACAATTACTTTCCGGTCGATTTTTTTTTTTCGGCTTAAAATATGAGTCAATCGTTTTAACTTTTGACAGCAACATTGTACCGGATGTTTATGAAATTGTGTTGATTCCACCACCTTACTATACTATAATAACCGTTGATAGTCGGAACTACAGGAAGTTACCGCTAGATGTTGCAAAGCATTCATACGAAGTTAATTCCACCACCATACTATACATACGATAACAACCGATGATGGTCGGAACTACAGGAAGTTACCGCTAGATGTTGCAAAGCATTCATACGAAGTTAATTCCACCACCATACTATACATACGATAACAACCGATGATGGTCGGAACTACAGGAAGTTATCGGTAGACGCTTGCAAAGCGTTCAGACGAAATTAAAAATAAGATAATCACCGAGTTTACTTTCAGTTACATTTACGCGAAAGAAATGTTGCTCAATGCGTAACCTGAATTTTGTGTGCGTTTTCATACGCTTAAATTTTGTTTTGAATGCGTAAACATGTTATTTCCATACGTAATTTTCGCGTATACGCATCTTATCTGGAGCCCTGGTACAAACTACTTGAAATTTTATTTGTGTGCATGTAACTTAATAATGGGCATTAGTTTAAGAATTACTTGCACTCACGCATAGATTCTCCCACCTTTGCATCATTGTTTTTCTTTTATTCTATTGAAACCTTAAAACCTAATGTTACAATATTTGTCAAATAAAACAAACATTAAGGTATATGTATTTATTATTGTAGTTACAGAAAAAGTATACGAGGAGGAATCTACTGATGCTTCTGAAGCAGAAGAGCCTGTACCTAAAGAAACAAAGAAAACTGGACCAACTAAATCACCTCCAAAGGTAAAATATGCAACAGCAGTTATATTACACATTAAACGATACATTCATATATATCCTTTTCATGTAACTAACCACTTGGTGCTCTATGTGCAACCTCATACCACTTATCCAACCTCATACCACTTGGTGTTTTATCCAACCTCATACCACTTGGTGTTCTATTTAACCTCATACCAGGGGGCATCTGTGGCCGAGTGGCTTCAAACCACTTGCCCCTCACTACTGTAGGTTTGAATCCTGACAGGGACTTTGAATTCTTTCATGTGAGTAAGCTATCCAGCTAGCTTACGAAACTTCAGTGGTTCTACTCAGGTACCTGTTTGTGCCTGATATAATGCAGGGAAGGATACCTGAGGTTTTCCTCCACCAGTAAAGCTGGAACATAGCCATATGACCTATACTGTGTCGGTGTGATGTAAAACCCAATATAACCTCATACCACTTGGTGTTCTATCCAACCTCATACCACTTGGTGTTCTATCCAACCTCATACCACTTGGTGTTCTATCTAACCTCATACCACTTGGTGTTCTATCTAACCTCATACCACTTGGTGTTCTATCTAACCTCATACCACTTGGTGTTCTATCTAACCTCATACCACTTGGTGTTTTATCCAACCTCATACCACTTGGTGTTCTATCTAACCTCATACCACTTGGTGTTCTATTTAACCTCATACCACTTGGTGTTCTATCCAACCTCATACCACTTGGTGTTCTATTTAACCTCATACCACTTGGTGTTTTATCCAACCTCATACCACTTGGTGTTCTATCCAACCTCATACCACTTGGTGTTCTATCCAACCTCATACCACTTGGTGTTCTATCCAACCTCATACCACTTGGTGTTCTATCCAACCTCATACCACTTGGTGTTCTATTTAACCTCATACCACTTGGTGTTTTATCAAACCTCATACCACTTGGTGTTCTATCCAACCTCATACCACTTGGTGTTCAATCCAACCTCATACCACTTGGTGTTCAATCCAACCTCATACCACTTGGTGTTTTATCCAACCTCATACCACTTGGTGTTCTATTTAACCTCATACCACTTGGTGTTCTATCCAACCTCATACCACTTGGTGTTCTATCTAACCTCATACCACTTGGTGTTTTATCCAACCTCATACCACTTGGTGTTCTATCTAACCTCATACCACTTGGTGTTCTATCTAACCTCATACCACTTGGTGTTCTATTTAACCTCATACCACTTGGTGTTTTATCTAACCTCATACCACTTGGTGTTCTATCTAACCTCATACCACTTGGTGTTCTATCTAACCTCATACCACTTGGTGTTTTATCTAACCTCATACCACTTGGTGTTCTATCTAACCTCATACCACTTGGTGTTCTATTTAACCTCATACCACTTGGTGTTCTATCCAACCTCATACCACTTGGTGTTCTATCTAACCTCATACCACTTGGTGTTCTATCCAACCTCATACCACTTGGTGTTCTATTTAACCTCATACCACTTGGTGTTCTATCCAACCTCATACCACTTGGTGTTCTATCTAACCTCATACCACTTGGTGTTCTATCCAACAATTTAATCTTACAAGGGATGCTCTGTTAACGAGGTAAAAGCCAGATACAGGCATGTGTCTGAAATATTGCACACTGGAACACATATGATCTCTTTCTAGGGATATAATGCTGTAACAATACAGGTTAGAGATCTGCATAATAATTGGAATGATTATTAATAAGTAAAGTTATCTTTAGCTGGAAACTTACAAGATTTGTATTACTTCTGTTAAGGCATCTTTTTACTTTATATCTTACCTACATATGAATGAAATTTTATATTTTTCTTGCAGGGTAAAAAGTCACCAAAGAAAGCTTCACCAGGAAAGAAAGGTCAAGGAAGTGGGAAACAAACATCTCTCATGTCATTTTTCAAAAAATCTTGAAATAAATCGAATTAGGCAGTTGTTTTCAACAATGCTATGATGTTCTGAATTCACTTATTTAGATATATTCAAAATAGACTGGTAATAAATATATAAAAAATGAAATGAGAATATTCTGGATATACAAGAGAGATAAACATTTATGTTACAGGATACAGAACAATTGTACTGTTGTTTCTTTTTAATGAATATACATGTTTGGAAAACTTCTGTGAACAAGATTTCATTATTGATGCCTATTATACGCAATAAATTTATTTATTAAATTTATTTAGATGAATTGTTATTTAATGCCCTTTGAATAATAACCTAATAATGTTAGAGCTACCAGGGGATATGTTTCTTTATTTTTTATCTACCACTACATGAATTTATTGATCTGTTTCAATCGTTTATTTTTTTAGCTCACCTGAGCATATGCTCAGGGTGAGCTATTAGGATCACCCTTCGTCCGTCGTCCATTGTCCGTTCACACTTTTTAAACGACATCTCCTCTGAAACCATAAGGCAGATCATAATGAAACTTCACAGGGATGTTCCTTGTGTGAAGCCTTAACAAAGTTGTTCAAAGAATTCCATTCCATTCAGAACTTTGGTTGCCATGGCAACCAAAAGAAAAAACTTTAAATATCTTCTTCTAAAAAACCCGAAGAGCTAGAGCTTAGATATTTGGCGTGAAACATCTTCTAGTGAGTGTCTACCAAGTTTTTTCAAGTAAAAGCCCTGGGGTCAAAATTCGCCCCGCCCCAGGGGGTCATTGATTTTCGCTATATGCATATAGTAAAACTTTAAAAAATCTTCTTTTAAAGAACCCAAAGAGCTAGAGCTAAGATATTTAGCATGAAACATGTTTTAATGGGTGTCTACCAAGTTTGTTCAAATAAAAGCCCTGGGTTCAAAATTGGCCCCGCCCCGGGGGTCATTGATTGTCCTTATATGTGTATAGCAAAAACTTAAAAAATCTTCTTTGAAAAAACCCAAATAGCTAGAGTTCAGATATTAAGCATGAAACATCTTCTAGTGAGTGTCTACCAAGTATGTTCAAATAAAAGCCCTGGGGTCAAAATTGGCCCCGCCCCAGGGGGTCATTGATTTTCCCTATATGCATATAGTAAAAACTTAAATTTTCTTTTAAAGAATGCAAAGAGCTAGAGCTAAGATATTTAGCATGAAACATGTTCTAATGGATGTCTACCAAGTTCGTTCAAATAAGAGCCTTGGGGGTCAAAATTGGCCCCGCCCCTGGGGTCATTCATTTTCCTTATATGTTTATAACAAAAACTTAAAAGATCTTTTTAAAAAAAAAAACAAAGAGCTAGAGTTTAGATACTAAGCATGAAACATCTTCTAGTGAGTGTCTACCAAGTTTGTTCCAATTTAAAGCCCTGTGGTCAAAATTGGCCCCGCCCCGAGGGTCATTCATTTTCCTTATAAGTGTATTATAACAAAAACTTAAAAAACCTCTTTGAAAAAACTCAAATAGCTAGAGTTTAGATAGAAAGCACGAAGCAATTTCTAGTGAGTGTCTACAAAGTTTGTTCAAATAAAAGCCCTGGGGTCAAAATTGGCCCCGCCCCGGGGGACATTGATTTTCCTTATATGTGTATAGCAAAAACTTAAAAATCTTCTTTGAAAAAACCCGAATAGCTAGAGTTCAGATATTAAGCATGAAACATTGTCTAGTAAGTGTCAACAAAGATTGTTCAAATAAAAGCCCTGGGGTCAAAACTGGCCCAGCCCCAGGTGTGTCATTGTTTTTAACTATATGTGTAAAGAAAAAAAGTTGAAAAAAATCTTCTTTTAAAAAACCCAACAAGCTAGACTGTAGATGTTTAGCATGAAACATCTTCTAATGGGTGTCTACCTTGTTCAAATAAAAGCCCTGGGGTTTAAACTGGCCCTGCTCCGGGGGCCTATATACAGGTGAGCAACTTTAGGGACATCATGGCCCTCTTGTTTGATATAATTTTTTGTTTTATCAATATGTGAGAAATTGCTGGGCCACTCAGTCACGACCATGTTTCTTTATATCACACCAGTACTGGTTGGTTCCAGGAAGCAGACTCGAAAGTTGCAAGAATTTGTTTCGCAATCAAGCTTAAATAAAAAATTATGTTTAAACCATTTCTGGGCTGGGGTTTTTAAAATTGAAATATAAACAATAATGGTCACAATAGATGATATTTAGCTTGTCTGTTTCAAAGAAAAAGTTTAGCTCTTATGATAACTACGTTGTTGTTGTTGTCATCAACTATAATTGTAGCCCATTACTCGGATATTTAAATAAGTATAGGTTACAAGTATGTTATATATTAAAGGATTAGATTCATACTTGGACAAAAGAGTCCTTGTGAAAAGCTAACGTGTTGAATAATTCAAACCTACACATTGTCCTTCAAATTACCCTGGCCTTGAAGGTAAAGTAATTGAAATTTGCTCACTTTGTTATTAATTTAGAGATTTAATTCATATGGACAAATGAACGCTTGACATTTGCCAATATTGACAATATGACATTTACCTTCTAATGAGCTAGACTGTCAAAGTCAAATTATTGAATTTTGTCATAATTGTTTATATTTATCATATTTCACAGTTATGATTTGTATTCGGAGAAAAAACACTTACTGTACAGTACAACTGTCATTTTGTATTATTCAAGTTTGATCATTATGGTCAAGTTTTTGAATTTTGCTTAAAATGCCATTAGAAATATCAACAATAACAATACAACCTTTATTATAATACAAATGTATTTGATTTACGTGGAAGTATACTAGTTATTTTGCTCCTTTGATGACGGTATCCAGACCATGTTTACACTTTTCCTCACAAAATATATACGTTGGCCTGTTATGACTATTAAAAATGTCAAAATCAAACTCTACAACATTAGCTTTGCTTGAAATTTAGAATATCTCATGACGTACACAAGTTTTCTTCAAGGTAGTTTTTCAAATTGTTGAATAATCAAATCAAATGTACACTGCAAAACTGTTGTTATTGTTGTGAAATATAGCAAAAGGCATTGTCATTTTGTACGAAGCTCTGAGAAACTAATGTCATATAAAGTAAATAAAACACTATTAAACAAGTACAGGTCCGAGGTTATAAAAAGTTCTCAAATCTCCGGTATTTGAGACAACACATATTGTACACTGACCATTTGAGATTTGAGACAAACCTCAGAAAAAGGTTTAATAACCTCTAGGACAGTGTATAGGTTAATGTCCATACATTTCCCATGATGGCTTGTAGTCCGTGAAATTAGAAAACTGTTCTTGACGTCTTGGTTCGTCTCCCCAAACTGAAATACAAACAATAATTCAGATATGTTCACCTTTCAGTATGAGAAACACATGCAGTACTTTGTTACAACCATTTGTCATTAAATATGTGAATTGTACTGGTCTTTTGACTTTGTAACTGTCCGTTGTTATTTAAATATGTTGAATATGAGAAGACTAGACGGGTTTCAGGCTTGATTATGGTTGGTATGACTTGAGACGTGAAACTATGAAGTTATTTATATCATTATAACGAGAATCATCTCAAATCTATATTTTGATACTTTTTTGTTTGCTATTGTTAAATGTTTCTAACGAGGATAGTCATTGCTGCTGCATTATAAACAAAACTATGGACCTGTTCGAAATGCAGCTTTTAAATAAACGTTAATAGAATGAACTGCGTAAAATTAGATTGCTATGAAAACTTACTGTATCTATTTCGTCTCGTCTTTGATAACTCTGAAAAAAGAAGAACCGCTTCTCTAATATATATTTTTATTACATTACCAAATTGTATTTTGTATAAATCTTTAACTAAAGCAAAGAGAAATATGATTTCCCTGGTCTGTCTGTGACTTAATGATCAATGATATATGAAGCACATGTACTCTGTAATACATACCTCTACCAAGTCCTTTAATTATCAGTTTATCTTGATTGTACTTTATCACAACCATACTATTTTCAAACAAGAAAGCTTGTTTAAAGAGCTTAACCTCTATTCTGAACTACTTATCACGTATATAATTTATAGTTAAAATATACACCTGTTATCAATGGATGAAGTACATGTATACTGTTTCACCTTGCACAATTACCTTTTACACTTCACTATAGAGTCGGCATAGTGTATTTTAAAAGTCCCAACCAAAAACTATTTTTTAGATTTTCTATAATTACCGTCATGCCATGACCTCCAGGTTAATCTTTGCTGACCAGTGTCTAGTGGCATTTGCGGACGGCGACCGTTATTACCCGGATGAAGAATATTGCCATTACCTATATTTGCTGCTTTCCAGCTTAGTTGACGCTTCCGGTTTTCACAAGCTTTGTCACAGAACTTTGTGTCGCGGAAATACAACTGCCGACAACAGAAGTTGCAGTATCCAAGTTCGTCGCCGACGCCTAGTGCAGTATAATGGTGACCTGAAACATTGATTTATGTTCAAACACTGTTATATAGAACACAATTTCAATCCCATACTTGATCAAATTACTCCTTATCAAATAACTGTAAACCAAGGTTCTAGTATTATTATTATTAGCAGTAAATAATTTTAGGTAATGTGGCAAAATCTGTATTTATAGGTAATCTTATCTAACTGGTTAATTTTCATTTGTTTAGCGAAAATTTTGAAAATGTACTCAAAAGTAAAATATTGTGAAGTGAATAAAGAAAATATTTTTCACATTGCAAACAGCATTATTATATAACAACCTATGTAAATTACCAAAAGTAGAGGTCAAAATATGCCAAAATAGCACATGCTGCCCCAGTATAAAAAAAAAATAACGCATTAGAAATATGGTAAAAATACTGCAAAATCAGACATAAATGCTTCTAAACATAGAAATAATGACTTTTTTTCTCGAGTATTTTTACTTTTCTTAAATTTCAGTAATTTTACTCCAGTTTTATTTTCTTGAAATATTTAACTTATCCGGAGGCATGATATTAATGTTCATCATTATTAGCATGTAAGAATAAAATTAATATACCCATTTTCTGCCCCAAAAGGCAAACATTTGCACCCGCAGAAATAACCAGTTATACGGTATAAGTTTAAAGTCAGTAAGGTCAGTGTTTGGTGTGTACAAAACATTTTAAGTAGATCTATTATTCTATTGAATTTATTTTTATTTGTACATGTGTTGTAAAATTGCTAATTTGCTGATGTTTAATCCACCAATCCTTGTAGACCAGCTGGAACCAAAACATGATTTGCCACCATTATATAGAGCCATGAAAGTCCGACCAGGTTCTGTACTGTTGGAAGCTAAATTTTTGTATTTTTATACTGATATTGAAACACTTTAATAATGTTCAGAACTCAAAGCAGAGCTAATCCATTTACATAAATTCAGCAAGTTTTGGATGTCGGTATAAGAGACATTGTGCTTGATTATTCTGTTTATACCTTTTTATGCCTCCACAATGTGGGAGCATATAGCGTTGCACTTGTCCGTCCGTACGTCTGTCCATACGTCCCGAAATCTTGAACGCAACTCCTCTTAAACCGGATGGCAGATTTTGCTTAAACTTCCAGGGATGAACAACCTTAATGTGTAGATGGTAGTAAAGGAAGGAATTTTTGCTTCGGCCAATTTAACAGAATTATGGCCCTTTGTTGATTTTTCACTATATACTATGTATAAATTTTGTGAATGCAACTCCTCTTAAACCGGATGGACGATTTTGATTAAACTTCCAGGGATGAACAACCTTAATGTGTAGATGGTAGTAAAGGAAGGAATTTTTGCTGCGACCAAATTTAACAGAATTATGGCCCTTTGTTGATTATTTCACTATATACCATACAGAAATTTTGTGAACGCAACTCCTCTTAAACCGGATGGCAGATTTTGCTTAAACTTCAAAGGATGAACAACCTTAATGTGTAGATGGTAGTAAAAGAAGGAATTTTTGCTGCGACCAAATTTAACAGAATTATGGCCCTTTGTTGATTTTTTCACTATATACCATATAGAAATTTTGTGAACGCAACTCCTCTTAAACTTGTTGGCATATTTTGCTTAAACTTCCTGGGATGAACAACTTTAATGTGTAGATGGTAGTAAAGGAAGGAATTTTTGCTGCGACCAAATTTAACAGAATTATGTCCCTTTGTTGATTTTTTCACTATATACCATTTAGATGTTGTCAGTGGGGGCATCCGTGTCCTTTGGACACAGTTCTAGTTTACATTTGTGTTTGTCAGAAAATAAATTATAATATCTTTCCCGGCAGAAAAAACAAACATACGAACTGGATATGGAAGAATATACATTTATTTGAACATATTTTGCTAGACTACATATAATAAAAAACATATAAACAATGTATAAATAAATAAATAATTAACAAGGCATTCTGAAGGACAGCTAAATCCCCTTCCACAGCGGATTTGAATGTGTACTTCTTGACCTTTAACAAACCATGACCTTGATGCTGTGCCTTGTATATTATAAGCACATAGTCTAATGATAGTAATTTTTGTGCAAAGTTATTTAAAATCTTCCTTTAAGTCAAATAGTTATTGAGAACATTATCCTTTACCTTAGGGGTAGCAACTCTGCACATCGTGTGATAATGGAGATCATTTCTGCCAAATTATTAAAAAACAAAACAAAAACAGCGATTTAAAAGTTATGGAGCGGACACGAAATGCACATGACCTTTAAGTGTGACCTCGATCTTGGGGATAGCAACCCAATTATTGCACTCTGCACATCGTCTCATATAATAATGAGCATTTGTTCTAAGTAATTTCATAAAAAAATATACAGCGCATTAAACGTTATGGAGACGACACAACATGTAAACTTTTTGACATATGGCCTTTAAGTGTGACCTTGACCTTGGGAAAAGCAACCCAATTATAGCGCTCTACATTTCGTCTCATATAATGGTGATAACTTGTGCTAAGTTATTAAAAATACATTTCAGCGGTTTAAACGTTATGGAGTGGACATGAAATGTAGACTTTTTTAACCTTAAAGTGTGACCTTGACCTTTGGGGTAGCAAACCAATTACTGCGCTCTGCTAATCATCTCATAATGGTCATCACTTGTGCCAAGTTATTTAAAACAATTTTCATCGGTTTAAAAGTTATGGAGCGGACATGAAATGTAGACTTTTTTAACACTTGACCTTTAAGTGTGGCCTTGACCTTGGAGGTAACAACCCCATTATTGCGCTCTGCAAATCATCACATAATTGTGATCACTTGTGCCAAGTTATTTCAAAAACAAAATTCAGCGGTTTAAATGTCATGGAGCGGACACAAAATGAAGACTTTTTGACACTTGACCTTTAAGTGTGACCTTACTGTCATGTTTCACTAAAAACCATCCTGTTTGGTAACACGACACTTACAGACTCAGATAATGAGAAAATATTCCTTGCAGTTCATAAATATATTGTAAAATCGAATCGCTTTGACTCTCCAATAATTTTCAACTATCATTAAGGGTTAAATCACAGGTCATTTTTTTTCTGTTGTTTTTTTTTTCCTTCTTTTTCTATCTTATTCTTCTTTCTATCTGAACTTATCAAACTATTATCATTATTAGTATTATTTTGCTTTTCTTTAAATAATTGATATATCTTATATTTATTTATTCATTTTCGATGCAAGTTGTAACACATCAGCCTTCTAAGTCAACAAACGACAATTTATTTCGCCTTATTTAGCACATATATTTATTGTACATTGGGAAAAGACTTCAATAAGCATTAGGTTGCTTCCAGTCTAATCCTTTTCTTGTTTTGATTGTAAATATCATGTATGTAAATATGCTTATGTGAGAAAGAATAAAATATGTTTAAACCAAGTGTGACCTTGACCTTAGGGAAGCAAGTGAAAGGGTTACGGACGAACGTACAGACGGACGGACTGACAGAGGGAGGCCATTCCTATAATCCCCTCCCGCTTTGCGAAAGGGCATTAATAAAACAAGATTGTTTGGCACACGACACACATGCATATTGCACAGACATGCATATTAAAATTATTAAAATGTTTCTCTTTTTTTCTTTCTTTTTTTTGTGAACATATACATGTAGTTTGTTATAGATCTATGCTATTTGACTGGAACTGTTTTGAGATCCTCGTGATATTGGACCTAGCAGACGCGCGAGATGATTTTGTAAGTTTAGATCCACCATTAGACGTGTTCAAAAGATCCCGATCTGTTGTAACGTCCATTATACTGTAAAAGATAAAGACACGTCATACTGTTGAATTCATCATTTTTTTGTACTTAACCAAAAATATAAGTTAACCAAAATACACAAGAAGTAAAATAGATACCCACCATCGATAAATACCTTTTACTAAAAACCTTAGCAATGTATATTTTAAATGATTTGATCGAAGCAATTTTGTTTATAGAATTAGCGAATAACCATTCTCAAGACAATACCAAAATTGTCAATCCGGGTATGCATGACCACTGATGATGTTCTTGATTAAACAAAAAAGCTATTAATTTTGGAAATTATGTCAATATTTACCTGTCATCCAAATCACTACCGTAAGATGAACGACTGTCCCTTCCACGCTTCCGTACTTCTACTTTCTTCTTTATTGAACTAAGTCTCAATTGTAACTGTGTTTGACTAAGCAAATCACTGTGTGTTGATTCTTCGCGTAACATTTCATGAATCTTTTCCAACTCTCGCGTACTGTCTGTTCTTTTGTCTGACCTTTTAGGAGAATTCTTCGGAGTTGGGTCTTCGTCCTCTAGTGACACATTTCCATTTGCAATCTCAGATTTGTTTGATTCTTCCTTTATAGTTGTAGGAATTAGTTCCCATTTACTTTTATCGTGTACATCTGCAATCGGTCTAGAGTCTTCACGCGCGAACGATGTTAAATCCAAAGAAGATTTCGTAGACTTTGCACTTGAATTACGTGTCTTTTTAATAGAGCTCGAAAGTGTAGCGCTCCTTGGCTTCAGTGCCATTGGTCTTAATTTTGGATTCACAGGATTTCCATATCCGGAAGAACGCACTTTCTTCTCAAGCTCCAAAACTGCTTTTGATTTTTGTCTCTGAAGAGCTTGGTTGTATATATCTGATGTTAGCTCGGTTTCTGTTTTCATTTTATCATTTGTCTTACTCAGTCTTTTCGCTTTCATTTCAGATTTAAACGATTCGTCAAGCAAAGAGCTCCTAATAGGTTCAGTTTTATTGAGATCAGCGTCTGAATCACCCGTCAACGCTTTATTACGGACTGGAATCTTTGATTCGTTTTTATGCACTAATATTGTATGAGTTTTTGAACGACTGCCACTTCTGAATTGAGCCGACTTTTTTCTATCATCTTTTGAATCTTTTGCCTCTGTCTTTCCATTCTCTTTACTTTCACGTTTTACGTTGTCAAGGGTTTTTGTACTCCCAACTCTTTTCTCTCGGTAACTGCTAAAGTCTAACTTTGGAATTGACGTTCCAGTTATATCGGTTTTAGTACTACTAATGAGTTTGTCTGCATCGTCTGTTGATACCGGTGATTTCAGTGTACTTGAAGGTTTTTCACCGTCCACTGCAAAAGGATAAAGAATTTCATTAGCATTTCTCGTCTTCGATGCTTTAGAACAAACAATGTGCTATGCACAGAATTGAGAATCGCTAGTGAAATGCTTTATGCTTCAGCTATAATAGGTGGCAAATCGGATGGGTCATTAGTTTCCCCAAACAGTTTGAATTTGGTTTTATGTTACGTGAGGTGACTAGCAAGACTCAATTCTGTGAACATAGTGTATTGAAAAGGTGCAGTAAACTAAATACGTGTTTATATGGTGTATCCAATGGACAAGACATTTCATCCTCACAGATTTTTGAGGAAACTGAATCGTAAAATTCATATCCGGTATGCTTGATGTCCTATACGCTAATTCGACCGTCGCCCGCTTTAATTGTAAAGTACCACTATGAAGTGCCTGTGTAAAAGTTAAACTTTGCACGCAAAAGGAGGATCAGTTCTTTCTAATTGAACTTAAAATTTCTGATCCAGTTAAAAGAACGGCACGAATATCTTAAACACTGTTCTTCAGTTGTCGTTCGTATGAATTTTCTGCGGCTACTTTTGAAGACATATTAAAGAATCTAAAATAATTATATTGTATTATTCTAAATACTTACGTCTCCGTTTATCTCTTTCTGGAGAGGGTTTGTCATTCTCTATCGCTGTTATTACATCTGAAAATATAACAAGCAACATATCTTTTTAAGACATATTTTGAAAATTAATAAGTAGATCTAGTCGGCTCGAAATAATATTCCGAAACAAAAATTTAGGGTACGTTCTTCGTCAATTCTGCACATTCACGTCACACTATGACATTGGTATAGATGTTTTGCTAGAATTAGTTTGATGTTATGTTGGATAATTTTATACAAATTTTTCACAATAATTTAGCACTATCCGGATATAGCTCAGATAGTTAATAGAACTATACATACTGTTTAACTGAGTAGTCCAGATTGCTGAACCCCGAATTACTTACGGGTTCTTATTATATCTGGCATCCTAACTTAAATATTGTAGGAAAGGGCATCCTGTATCTTCAACAATAAAGCTGGAAAATGCTACATGTTTAAGTGTTGATGTGACTTATAATCTGAAAAAGACTTATTCACTTTTCAAATTGGCAACATCGATTTCTGGAAGCATGCAATTTACACTCATATGTGCCTTTATACTTCTTGTCACAGGCGGCCAATCTATGTGTGTACACTTCCTACAATATTGACTGTTTCAAGTCAAAGGATAACGTACCTTCGAGGAAAGATTCTTTTTTAGCTGGGGCTGTTTTGTTTGATCTTGGAGACTCGTATTCTTTGTCCCCGTGAGGTCCAGAGGAGTACACCGGCTGTCAATTTAAAGGATGAACATATTAGTAAGGTCTAACTTCACATTTTAAAAATCTACATTAAAGATAAAAACATTTATATTAAACATTTCATTTTCATTAGGAATTTTGCCTATTGTTAATTTGAGCAATGAAAAGAAAAATTTTTTTAATACTACCACATGAAGACAGGTTTAGCCATAGTATAAAAATAAACCAGATAAGTAAATAAGATGGCAAAATTAAGCACTGCACGGAATTTTGAGGAAAACTGGGTTGTTTAAATTTTAAAACAATGAGTTTAAAAATTTACAGGGTACTGTATATGTTCAGATCGTCAAAACTATTATTTTAATGATTTTTGGAATTTTTGTTTTCTCAGTTCAGCCCGGAATTCTAGAATTTTTGAATAAAAGCGACAATAGGGAATTAATTTAACCCTTCTTTTTAATCCCGTTTTCTACTTTGCTTCGTGTTACTGGGTTCACAGAAAATGCTACAAAAAATTCTTTCCCTTTTTTCCCCCAAACGTCTGCACCATTTTCATAACAATTGTAATAAAATCCGAACACTGAAAATTTTAAAATATAAAAGATCTGTAAAAAACTGTCCTGGGCATTTACATAACAGATTTAATAAAAATTTGATCATGAAAGTTTAGCGTTTACATAACAATATGTAATAACCATAAAAACGAAATTTTAATAAAATATCTGATAAAATCATGAAAAACCGGCATTTTTTAAACATATACGAATGACAGATGAACACTGGACATTTTATACAATCGTATAAAATCATGAACACTGGACATTTATATCACAAGATCTGTAATAAAATCATGAACACTGGACATTTATATCACAGATCTGTAGTAAAATTATAAGCACTCGACATTTATAACACAGATCTGTAATAACAGCATGAACATTGGACATTTATACAACAGATCTGTAATAAAATCATGAACACTGGACATTTTGATCACAGATCTGTAAAAAAACATGATCACTGGACATTTACATAACAGATCTGTAATAAAATTATGATCACTGAACGTTTAGTCGTTTACATAACAGATATGTAATAAACCCATAAACACTGAACATTTGAATAACATATCTGTAGTAAAATCATGAACACTCGACATTTATAACACAGATCTGTAATAACAGCATGAACATTGGACATTTATACAACAGATCTGTAATAAAATCATGGACACTGGACATTTATATCACAGATCTGTAATAAAATCATGAACACTGAACATAAACATATAACAGATCTGTAAAAAAACATGATCTTTGGACATTTACATAACAGATCTGTGATAAAATCATGATCACTGAACATTTACATAATAGATCTGTATAAAATCATGATCACTGAACGTTTAGTCGTTTACATAACAGATATGTAATAAACCAATGAACACTGAACATTTGAATAACATATCTGTAGTTAAATCACGAAAACTCGACATTTATATCACAGATCTGTAATAAAATCATGAACTCTGGACATTTATATCACAGATCTGTAATAAAATCATGAACTCTGGACATTTATATCACATATCTGTAATAAAATCATAAACACTGGACATTTATATCACAGATCTGTAATGACAGCATGGACACTGGACATTTATATCACATATCTGTAATAAAATCATGAACTCTGGACATTTATATCACAGATTTGTAGTAAAATTATGGAGCACTCAATATTTTAATAACACAGATCTGTAATAACAGCATCACACTGGACATTTATATCACATATCTGTAATAAAATCATGAACTCTGGACATTTATATCACAGATTTGTAGTAAAATTATGAGCACTCAATATTTATAACACAGATCTGTAATAACAGCATCAACACTGGACATTTATATAACAGATCTGTAATAAAATCATGAACACTTGACATTTATATCACAGATTTGTAGTAAAATTATGAGCACTCGACATTTATATCACAGATCTGTAATGACAGCATGAACACTGGACATTTTGATCACAGATCTGTAATGAAATCATGAACACTGGACATTTATATCACAGATCTGTAATAAAATCATGAACACTTGACATTGATATTACAGATCTGTAATAAAATCATGAACACTTGACATTTATATCACAGATTTGTAGTAAAATTATGAGCACTCGACATTTATATCACAGATCTGTAATGACAGCATGAACACTGGACATTTTGATCACAGATCTGTAATGAAATCATGAACACTTGACATTTATATCACAGATCTGTAATAAAATCATGAACACTGGACATTTTTATCACAGATCTTTAGTAAATTCATGAACACTCGACATTTATATTACATATCTGTAGTAAAATCATTAACACTGGACATTTAAATCACAGATCTGTAGAAAAATCATGAACACTGAACATTTATATCACAGATCATCAGATAAAATAAAGACCAATGAACACTTACATAACAGATCAAATATGCATAATATGTTAAAGAAATGTGATCGGTAAAAGATCTTATAAAAGGAAGGCACTAATTGGTTTGTGTAACCATGGATATATATTATAATACTTGTTCTCTGATTCAACTGTCAACATGATAACAGTTTAAATGATTTGTAATAACTTTGTAAATCTTCAAATGATCTTATAATAACATAAATCTACAGTAAAATATAAAAGTTACCTTACCATGTGGTCCCATTCTAACTGACTTAACTATAACACTTGATTCATTTTCAAATAAAATAGAATTATAAAACACTTGGTAAATTTGTTAATGTAAATTTCACCCGTTGCTATATAGGTATAATGTAACATATAGGGCTATATAACGATATCTAATAAGCGGAACACTATATCTTCATTGTTTAAGTCTCAGGTTTCCACATAAAACAAAAGAGCTATTCATTATTACCTCCAAAGTAAAATTCACACTGTGACCGTCACATAAACACGAACAATTTAACTTCAAGTTCAATACACAAATTGTTTTTAAAGTTTTAAAGTTCATAATCAAGGTTCCATTAACGTTTAAAGTGACTTGTACACACTGCTTAAATAATAATAAAGTAAAATAAATTTAAAAACAGCAAAAATCACCCCTCCACAGCAACCCTTCATACATATACTTATCTTCATGAAAATTTTGAAAATGTATTTAAATATATAAAAATTCTGAAGTAAGTATAATTAAGGAAGCAATTTACACATTATCAATGACACTTGCAACCCACGTATATTACCATGAAGAGGTTAGAATAGCCCTCGACTGCGTTAGTAACGTGTAGAAATATGCATGTAGTTATAAATACTGAACATAAGGCATTAATCGCACATAACATGTGAATCTTTTTACCTTTTCTTAAATCGTTGTTTTAATGGTAAGATTCGAATACACAGCGGTTAGAGGACAGCAATTTGAATTAAGCGACTTTAACCACTAGGCCACGGAGGTCCGGGATTATTTTTTAAAAAGTAAATAAGAAAAAAACTAGAAATGTGTCCATAGGACACGGATGCCCCCACACGCAACTGTTCTGTCAATCTTATGACTCTAGGTCAAATATTTTTTGGACTACATGTGCCACAAGTTGAAAACTAAAAATCAACAAAGAGTCATAATTCTGTAAAATTTGGTCGCAGCAAAAATTCCTTCCTTTACTACCATCTACACATTAAGGTTGTTCATCCCTGGAAGTTTAAGCAAAATCTGCCATCCGGTTTAAGAGGAGTTGCGTTCACAAAATTTCTACATAGTATATAGTGAAAAAATCAACAAAGGGCCATAATTCTGTTAAATTTGGTCGCAGCAAAAATTCCTTCCTTTACTACCATCTACACATTAAGGTTATTCATCCCTGGAAGTTTAAGCAAAATCTGCCATCCGGTTTAAGAGGAGTTGCGTTCACAAGATTTTGGGACGTACGGACAGACGGACGGACAGACGTACGGACGGACGGAATGACGGACGGACACTCGGACGGACAAGTGCAACGCTATATGCTCCCACTCTGTGGGGGCATAAAAAACGATAAAAAGTGGAATGTCGCATCGCGTGATATTTAAAATAAAAAAAAATCACCATTTACTATTATAAATGCTTGTACATTTTTGTTTAAGTTTGTATCATACAGGTTTTAAATCATTAGAATACAATATAAGAATCTTAGCAACGTCTCAGTATGAGAGACTAGTTGTTGAACAGGTGCTAATAGATGTTACATGAATATCAAACCCGGGGGAAACGACCTCCTAACTTGTCTTCATTTTCACGTCCTATTAGCAATGCGTTTCTATGACAATTTTAACAAATATTTCTAAGGAGCGACACATGTTTACTAAGTCTTTTTTCTCTGGATCATTTAATTTACACAAATTAAACTGTAAACTTCAGTTTTAATGTAAGGACTAATCATTTTTCTTAAAATTCAAAAATAAATAATCGATGTCTGCAAGGTGTGCAAGATGTGTTTCTAGTTTTAGAATTGATGCTGTTGCTTTTTCATAAAAAAAGTCATACTGATATTAATGACATTTCTGGAATAGCAAGGATATGTGTAAAATAAAAATTCAGTGAAGATAAATGAGCAAGATGACGACAAATAACCAGCCTGAGGAATTTCCAAACAAAGAGAGAACGAGAAGCTTTGATGGTGATGTGCGAGAAGAAACAAGAAGAAATGGTAAGATTTTGAAATCGAGTTATTCTGTAAGTACTGCAAACTTGATAAGCTTTATGGAGCTCAATCTTCATGGTCAGACTGGTCTCTAGATTTACGAAATATGATGCCATTTTCCCAGAAGTACTTGAGGGCCAACGCATCCAAGATGGCCGCCAAAATATTTAAAAATTGCCATGTAATATATATCTTAATGTTTCGCAGTTAAAACTACAACGTAGTGTAAACGTTGTATATTCCTTTTTTCCAATATTATCTTGTATCAAATTTGTTTTAGTATCAATTTGTAAAAGAGCCAAACATTTTCGGATGGTCAAAACAGAAAATTCTGATGCAAATATCAAAAAACTGCTGTTATAATATTTCCTTTTCATTTTATTCCTTTTATTCTTGGAACTTATCAAAGATTTGTTTTGTTATGACCTACTAATTGTTTTTGCGTACAAACTGTGCTGTTGAAAGTTTTTTTACGTATTATTTTGTGATAATATATATTATTTAGTAGGTTGGGAAAATGATAAGTTCATTATTATTTCAAAATACTGTAAGTAACTTTATTTTTGAAAACTTTAAAGACTTACATCATTTGTTTTTAGAGTAATTGTTGACTAGATTTGTTCACACATATAAAATCTTTTTTGCATTTTCAATGAATGAATAAAAAACAATATTAAGATTGCATCTTTTTCTTTGGTGTGATCTAAAAAATCTTGTGTAATGTTGCCTGTGACATAGTGGATGGGGTAAATGACAAATACTTTTTTCAAGGTTGAGTCCGGGTGATTAATGCGTCTACTGACCAATGAGAATTCCCCAAATGAGTTAGACTAGATTAGTGTCTCTTTCTGGGACATCAGTAAAGACAGCGATGATGGTTCAAAAATATCGGACTACAGTCTCTTAATTATCATATTCAATATATCAGTTTAATAATATATTACATGATTACCTTAACATATGCCCATTATAGCAATTCCCAAACTAAACACAGTTTACCCCATCACAAGAATCTATACAGGGTATAAATATTACTGTCACCAAGTTCCACATGAAGAATCAATTGGCAATTGCAAAACATTTAGTATTATATTATTTTCACTCGTTCTTGAACAAAAATACTATTCGTATTGTTATCAAATTCGTGACTGTCGCTTTATATTGATAGACATCTTTCATTCCAGCCATCCGTATGCGGCGTCAGGTCGGTTTTCAGCGTTTAAATCAACTGAGCTTTATGCAGATTATTACGTCATGTCCACTTTTTATAGCAGGAGTTGTGACACTTGTGATGGCCCTTCCCCACGTGGAGTATCCCGTATTTAATTTTGGGCCTGTTTTTGTATCTATTCTGGTAAATAAAGCCAAGTTATGTCTGATAATAATTCAGTTTTAATTCGACCAAGTTTGTCTTCCTGTCAATAAGTTCTACTTCTTGTTTTCTATTCTAAAATATTCGCTCTTCAATGTGTATTAAACTTATTTTAGAAAAAAATGTTGACTTTAATAATGAGACATTTTACGAAAATAACAAGATATACACACCATGGAATTTACGACAATCTGGCTTGTTCTTTATCTTTAGAAGTTGCTTAACTTATAGCACAAATGTATTTGTATACTAACACAATTTTGGTTTGTATAAAGGTGTTCCCGATGGCGTTGATCGGTTTACTTGCAACAAGGTCAGCAACTGAGAATGTGAACGAGATAGAGACAACAGGGGGAGTAAAATGTATGGTAAGTGAAACGTTTCATGTATCTTGCCTAGTAAAATAAGAAAACATTTATATGCGTCGATTCTACTGATTGAATGAAGAACAGGTCTATTACCACGTCTGTCAACCTTTCGGAGTCTTCTAGCTTCTTCATTGGAAAACTCTTTCAGATTCTGAACTAACTGTCTCACAGTAGTGCTTACTGTCTGGAAACAGAAAAGGGAACAAGTTACAAATGAATTTACGTGTATTCAAGTACAAAATGTTGTCATAAACACTTTTCCTCATATTTCCATTAATGGTTGAGTCATTCAGATCGTTTGATTATGTTAACTAATGATTATATATATGGTACATTGTTTATATATTTCAGATTGTATGTAACTTTATCCTGTCTCTGTTATGCAGTGTTCTTGCAGCAGCATCTAGTTTCTTTTCATTCTACATAGTGGAACAATGTTCGGATACATCATCAGGTTTACTGATATACAATCTTAACGAAAGTTTGCATTTCTAAGATATTTTCTTTTCTCACATTAATAATTAAGTCATCAAGGCCGGTAATCAAGCTTCTATAGTATCCATCATTTTGTGAATAAACGCCACCACCATAGAAGTGGGGCTAAAAGTATGGTCTTGTCCCATACGTTTTCTGTCGGAAATGATCAATATAATTATGATCAGGCTCCTCATTTAATCAGGTGTATGTAACTTGCGCATCCATTTTGAAATATAAGTGACAATTTTTCAAATTGCCAGGTGTGACGCATTTGATATTGCTTAACAAAGTAATTTTTTTTTTTAGTTGTTTGGGTCGTCATACCAAACAAATAATGGTAGCGAAATTTCAGACTCTAATGCTGTTAATTGCAAATGCCGAAAGTAGTCCGCTTTTTTGAAGCGGTTACTACCCTTTGTATGTAAACTAACCCCGAAAAATTCACGGGAGGTCACTGCGTAAAGATGGTCAAATGACAGGCGCATTAATTTTCAAGCAAAATAATTTCAGAATGGTCGAAGATTCTAATAATGGTTTATTCTTTATAGATATACATGCTTATAGTAACTAAGCTCCATGAATATTTACATCTGTGTTAAACAACAGTTAGCGTCGTTACAAACCCTATCTTAGAATAATATGGTTTTCTTCCGTCCCTTAATATATATAAACTCACCGTGGCCGAGGGGTTTAAGCGCTCGCTTAGGAAGCGAGAGGTCTGGAGTTCAAAACCCAGCAACTCATTTTTTCAAATTGTTTAAGTCAAAAAAACATTGGATTGAATAGCAGTGTTGCAATTAGTCTTATAGCCAATTTACTACAATTAAAACGCTGAAAAGCATTTGTGGCACTATACAAAAACAAATTGGTTTATAATCTAACAACCTTCACCTTTCTGACATTCTGAGACCCAAACAAATTCAGCGCCTTCTGTGCTTTGATTATATCCGCTTTTAAGTGAATTTTCCGATAAATTATAGTATTTAACAATTCATATAAAATCAGAGAATTATTTTTATTTGAAGTAACATAACTGTAAACAAGACTACGCATACAACATGTATGTTTCTATTTGAATTTGTAGATATGGTCACTTCACAATATCGAGTCCCATAAAGTAAAACGAAGTATGTACTAGTGATCACGAGTTGTAAGAAAATTGTTATATCTGCATGTATTCTATTTCTATAGATAAAAGACAGGAAATCGTTTTAAATGTTAGGTAAATTGTGTACCCGGTTGAACAGTCTGCCTTCTGTACATCTTATAATAACTGCGTTTTATCATATTTGTTTTTAGCCATTGATTTCATGGTAAATATAGTTGTTGGATTTTAATGCGACTGATTTTATTTGTAAACGTGTACCTCGTGTTAAGTTATTAAATAAATAATTCTAAACAACGTATGAGTATAGACGCTTAAACCAACTGCTTCGTATTAATCAAATTTTGGACTTTGGTTTACGAGCGTGTTCACGTGTATCAAATATTTCCGACAGAAGAAGTATCGATGGACAAAATAACAATTTTGTAATCCAAGATTCTGCTCCGTTTGCACGAGATTCACACCAACAAATACTACCATTTACAAATGTCATTCCCATCAGTTTTATATACAGTTGGTGTATGCAATATGTGTATTAAGATTCATATATATATATAATTAACATTTAATTTCTTTGATCATATATATATCAGGCAATTTAACATTAGAGTATGGGCTATCGAAAGTTGTTGTCCTCCTGCAATCGATTAGGCTGATGAATTACCTAAAGAAAATGTGTAAATGAATAAAACTTCTTAATGCGTTAATTGTTTTATTGACCCAGTTGCATTGTTTCTGAAACGACCCTTGTACATTTAGACTAGCAAAGAGTTTGTAAGAAAGTGATCACCGTTGGGAATGGTCTTGCTTGTCAATGCGTTTATATATACATGTAGCGTATTTACAAGTTCACCAATAAATTCATTCCTATATGTAGTGATTGGTGTTTTAAGAATTCCAGTTATCTAAGTAATGATATTGTAAAAAGTATATTTCATTCTTTCGTAGTTGGCTCTTTAAACAAATAAAAAATTATTTTTCTTTCAGATTTTTATGAACTATGTCTGCCTAACAGTCGTGCCAATATCGGGTTATCATTGGTGGATGGTGTCGTGTGCATTATTTTGTTGATCCTTTCCGTTTTCGGCATAGCCCATTTCTGCACACATGGCTTTAAGTTGTGTTTTCCGTCTGATCCATTGAATAGAAATCTACATTTGACAGTGGTGATGCCTTGCAAATCATCCGCGCAGGATCAAGTGAGGGGATTTCATGAGCGCAATGTGTAAATGAATGTTCAAATGAACGTGCGATAAATAGATAAACTGTTTATTTACTGACTGCAAAAAAAATATTACACAAGAAAAAAATTGCCATTTTAAAGAAATATACAGCTATATATATTCAAGTTAAAAAAGGTTTTCAATTACTAGTATGATAAATGGCTTCACTGAACATGCGGCCAATATTAATGAAGGATGCTCTTATTAAATACATTTTATAGACAACACTGGCAATTCGTCTTAAATTTAGTTGGGAAAAATTCTCCGCCGGATGTCTTTGTAAAGTTAATCATTTACATGATTTCATATTTTTATGTTTGTGATAGTAAACTGTCTTGTCCTTTAACGTGAGAGAATGTTGTATCAATTGAAGTGTCCTATAGCCGGTATATCGTTGTTTTTAAAAATGGTTCATCTTTTGCTATATAAAGACTGTTTTAAATGTTCTATCAAAGAATTTATTCCTATTAAAACAACTATGTATGTAATTGAATAAAACATGTGTTACCTAGCATACAACATGAATAGAATATATATCGTCGGCTTAATTCCAGACGGCCCTAAGTCGATATTTTTAAAATATCAAGATATTGGTACCGTTAAATTCGTTATTGAAAGCTCTTTCTATTGGTGTATTGTATGCCTATGTGGAAATATAATAAACAGGAGAAAACAGAGTTCTACAAAGCCCTAAGTCCCTTATTCATATTAAAAGTAAGTTCTACAATGCCACATGGGATTGGCCAATTGAACAGCTATATTTAGTCACGTGACATAGCGGAAGCGGCTAGAAAAGCCATGTTAAAAATCTTTTGTGAAAAATTACAAAAGGAAACCAAAGATAAAAACTCTGAAATATGTAAGTTATTTCTTTATTTTTAGTTGATAGGAGATAGAAATTATGTTGTCTTTAATACAGAATAAAAATATTGATTTAGCTGAATGGCTGTATTTGTTAACTTGTACTTCATTCGGTTATTATGTCTATACAATCTTCCAAAAAAAAATTCATGGCTCATGCATTTCAAAAGAGATTTTTGAATATATGTTCGTTGTTAATTTTGAAACCCAACCAAAATTGGAAACCCCACAAAATTTGAAAAAAAGTAAAAGTTCCCAAAAAATTTAAAGTGTTTATGCGTATATTTGAACTTTGAAAAACTCAAATTTCTCAAAGAAATTTTTAAAAAAGCCGTATTGAAGAATAAAAAGTTCTAGAAAAATAATGAATATATAATTATGATAGTTATGTTTCTTCATAGATTAAATATTGTGCAGCTTAAATGTTGTGTATTTTGACTGTGGTTTATTTGTATTTGATTTAAAAGGTATGCAAATAAATTGTTCTAAAAGTACATTTTGTATTTTAATGTTTTAGTTTTTAAGCTGTCTGTTGATATATTAGCATCTCATATGGAATAGCCAGGCATTTTTCAATGTATGGCTCTCAATATCTTTTATTTCCATGGTGGTCATGAATAGACGTATGCCTCTGGTATTTTATAAGATTTCACGATACGGATAACAACCACAATATTATAATATTTATCAATATAACAACCCCTCCTTCAGAAGAAGTGATAGTATATTAATATAATATTGATTTGTACATCGTCGGTCCGTCGGTCCATAGACTATATTTCAATTGAGAAACATTGATTTTGTAATTCAATATTTACCCTCTGTCAGCTGAAATTGCTTTGTACAGCGTTTGTCAGTGTGTCTGTCTGTTGACCACAACTTGTTCGAGAATGCTTTACTCTACAGTATTAAAGTTTAGTGTGAAGTTTGACCATGACCAGCAGATGACCTTTTTTGAACTGAGTCTATTGTTTCAAAGGTCGAGGTTTTACCGATTTTGACCTATGGTTGTGAAAGTTGGTCATGACTAGTAAATCACCTCTATTAATTTGGAGGTCAACTGGAAAAAGGTCAAGTCACTGTGACGTTGAGATTTCACAAAAAGCTAGCCCGACTGATAACAATAATAAATACTGTAACGCTTTCGCCTACCAACCTAAGATTTGACATGCCCTATTTCTCTTAAATAATGGAAATATATATAATTTTTTAGCTTTAGAGAGGCATGTTTCACAAAAAAAACACTTGTTTTCTTTTTAATTATTTAAATTTACTATATCTTTGTTGAAATATATTTATATTGTCACAGCCCAGAAATTAAATAATTCTCACAGCTCAAAAACCCAGTAATTCGCACAAAAGTTGATTTATATCGGATACAATCATTTACCATATCCCTACAACTTAACCCGCGCAAGTTGTTTTAGATTATTTCATTTGTGTCAAAATGAATAATTAAATAATAACATTATGCACTCATTCGCTTTTAAGTAAAAATTCAAACATATTTCTTTTAATGCATTGAGGTATTTAAACTACACAGATAATCTATTTACTACAAACAACATACATATATAAAAGCTTTATACGCTTTCACATGCTTTAATACAGAACACCCCAATTTAATGTACGTCTACACGGTATGGCGCGGGATTTATTAACAAATGTACGGTATTGTACGGAATTGAATATGGAAACGGGTATAATTCGTAATTGTTTACAAAAAGGTCAAGGTCGTATGTTATCTATCTCTAGCTGTCAACAAAGTATCATCTCAAAATTAACCGCTTAGTTAGACAGTTTTCAGGTGTCACGATGTCAGCGAAGAAAAAAGTGAATATTGATATTGTCAGTGACATTATATGACCATGGTGTTGGATCGGGAAGCGTAAAATGGAGTCTGCAATGGAGTCGTTGAGCTCGGATTACGAGTTCCGAATCCGTTGGGAACCTTACATGCTGCGGCCTCAGACTCCCCCCGAGGGTCTCCCGATCCCACCGGCATACAAGGACCCTAACAACCCAAGGTAAGAATCACAGGAATACTAGTAGGTAAAAGCTTTAATTATTTTATTAACTTTTAGAAAATTAAAATACCATAAAGATAGCTCTAGATTTTAAGTAAGGTTATTTTCTGGGACAATTAAGGTGTCCTAGAAAATATTTTTGAAGTTTTATATTTTGAACTTACAGTATCCATGTCTTTTACAGTTTTAACTTGCATGCCTTAAGAAGAGCAAAATAATTTAAGAAAGTCAAACTTAAGGAAAAACTAGCGTACTACCTTAATTACAGTACAGTAAGGTTTAAAGAAAAGTAAAAATATTCAATATTCAGAATTAAGTAATTATTTATATGTTCTAATATAATCTATACTGTATGTAATGACTGATCTGCAGTATATATCACCTTATTTCTACAACATGACTAGAATGCAGTTTAATAGTTGCAAATTCCATAAATCTTAATTGGTAACTTTTGTTGTTCTTTTTTAGATATTTTTTATGGTTGTTTAATTCATTTTATCATTTAAGATTTGTATTGTTAGAATATCAAGATTATATGTTAATTTAATTAATAGTTTTACATATAATTTCATTCATTTGCTCCCCCAAAAAGACCCTGTTTGCATTAAATATTTAGTTAATATTTAGTTTAATACATGAACATTGCTCGCAGATATTTTAAAAGATACTGCAGTAAACTTGTGTTCTAAATATTATAGATACATGTACAGGGTATTTCTATTTGAAAGACCCTGATACATTTTAACTCTCCATGAAATTTCTAAAATTTTTACTTTCGTTAAATCTCAGACAACTGACCACAGATATTGGAAAATGACCACAGAAGTTTGAAAATCAAACAATATAGATAAATAAATAGACTTTTTTTCTCACAATTATTACTTTTAACATTTTAGCCATTACAAGAATACTCCAGTCTCTTCTGTCCTGATATGCTAAATTAATGTCTGGATAACACGGGGGAGGATCTGTTACACGAAGGATGGAGTTCTTGACTTATGATAACTTGTCAGAGGTTCTTTTGAAAACGTTACGGATTTCGTCGGAAAACTTTATTGTATACTGGAGAAACACATGTAAAAATGGTAATTATTAACTATAAATGGGGAGTTTAAGTTTGATGATTAAGCTTGCTTTACATAAGATATAATGTGTCAGAAAAAAAAACTTTCAACAAATTTTTCATGGCCTCTTTACAATCTGATAGTTTTGAATAAAAATTCCAAATTATTGTTAATTCATAACTTTATACCGGACTTTTCAAATGTCACGGATTTTTCAAATGTCATAGAGTTCTTGTGATAACTCTGAAGGTGTCCTAGAGTTCTTACGGTAACTTTTTTTTACTGCCAGTGTGTTTCTTGTGCTAAGTTACAGCACGTTTTAGCGTATTTTCTTAGTCAATAAGTGTGTAAATCTTTATGGCGTAGTACGCAAAAATTTGTTATGTAATGTTGGTTTTGGGTGTATTGCAGTTCAATAGATATTTTTTTATTACTTCCTTTCTTGTGACTTTTATAGAAGTTTTTGCTTACGCATATTTTGTTCACTAAAATGGGCTTGATGTAGAGCATAAAAAACGCTTTGATTTCAATACTCAAGCATGATGTCTTCATGTATATATTTCCATGCAGGCAGTTTTAGAGAACAATAAGTAACTATGCTATCGGTCTGTCGAAACAATTAACATGTAGATGGTTTGCAGCAAAATATTGAGTAGTATGCACTACCTTTATTTAAATTAATTTTAATGAGGTTGGTGCCATCTTCAGGTTTTCAACGGATATTTTATTTTCTAAAAGGTATCGAAGTTTGCCGTAGAGACGTAGAAAATTCAATAACAACGACATGACAATACAAAGCGAGTCTTTAATAATAGATGTTAGTCACCATAAGGTTCACGCCGTTGATCGACATTGTTTCTTTCTTTATTAAATTCACTTTAGCATCATGTGATACAGAAGTCTCAATATTGCAGAAGCTTATTGCATACATTTTTCTTATCAAAGTTGGAGTCCATATCTTTAATTTCAATCTACTTTAAACTTAAGGAGTATGATATGCTTTAAAATACTTATCTAGATGTACAAAATTAATACTATGTACATTGTCATTTTTTACAGTAAAAACTAAATCCTTTGTCAATGTTTGATGGGTATTCCCCCTATATAGTCCCAGTTACTACAAAAATATAAAGTTTAACTTCTTTCGCGCACGTGCAAATTTGTAGTGAGAGCCAACCGCGGTTGATTTTTTTTTTCATGTATAATAAGATTATACATTTCGGATTGATTTACACACTTGTTGAATAGTAAAATACACTAAAACGTGCCGTAACTTAGCGCAAGAAACAAATCGGCAGTAACAAAATTTATCATAAGAACTCTGTGACATTTAAAAAAATAGGGCATAAATTTGTAAGTAGAGGTTTGCAACTTTCCATTATAATTAGGTAATTAAGTATGGCAACGAAGAAGATCACAAATGGACAGGTCAATGTGTACGAATGAGCAAATATTTCGGAATTTTTACTCAAAAATGCAAGAGGCGATGAAAAATAAACCAGGCTTTTAGCGTTTTCTGACACATAAAACAATATATAGGGCAAGTTTAATTAAGCATTACAAAGTCCCTTTTTAAACATGAAACGAGTGTTTTTTCGGTATATAAAAAAGTTTTCCGACGAAATCCGTAACGTTTTCCAGGAACTCCGTAACAGTTATCATAAGAACTCCTGATAAGTTATAAATTAATAAGAACCCATCCTTCATGTAACAGTTCCTCGTGGATAATACATGTAGTTTTCTCTCATCTTTCTACTAATTGAGCACTCTATGTGCACATAAACTGGCAAGAGGGGTGAATAGGTATCGTTTAATAGGATACTTATTTATTTATAACTGTATGGGTACATTTTGTTAATATCTGATGAAACTAAAAATATTAAACATTTTGAAACATGCATGTATTTACAGAGTGCAACATTTACGTGGCGTCGCTGCTTCATTAGGGCTTGTTTTTAACACTGATCGTAAAACATTTGCT